AATATGACCCCTGAATATAAGGACTCTGAGATTTGGAGCAAGGACTGCCAGGTTATACGACATTGTTCAGGATGCAAGGCAGTGTTATCAGAAAATATAATGCAATTTCTGTGATCTATAAATAGGCTGCTTTGATCAGTTTTGTGACTTGTGTGAATCACATCTAAAATATTATTTTATAAATGTCAGCTGGGGACTGCTTGTGTTTTAGACCAATCATAAGAGAATGACATGGGCTAACAAAAGTAGATAGTTCTGTGTGAGTTTCAAACATGCTTTCTATCATGTGTCCTGCAAGCACTGGCTTTATTTTGTGTGAAAGAAGATGTGTCTTTGTATTGGCCATTTGCTCCTTTCTGATGAAGATAACCGAAGACTTCAAAGGTATAATCCCTCCGCCTATAATACCATTGCAATTAAAATCCCCATTCTGGTTATAATTCTTCTCTCTTGCATAAACCAACTATTGGGTAGATGTGTTTGGTTACTCAGTATTAGCAGCCAGATAGTATCAGTGTGTACTAAATAGACTGAGGAGCATCATCATGTTTTATTAACATGGCATTTGACAGCTGTTAACTGAAGAAACAGGAGACTGGTATCCAATTTGACTGAAAAGTATACACATGATCCTGCTTAGATCAAACCCTATTACGTGCTAAGCTGTGTGTATTGAATTAGCAGGTTGGCAAGATGGGAAGAATGATCTAGGAGACCTTTTAGGAGAGAGAAATCCATTTATAATAAACTGAGTTTCCTTAGAGCTCTATAAGGTATTATGCTTATGTAAAAGACATTTAATTGTGTTATTGGTCAAAATGACAAGCTGCAGTAAAAGCACTTTTATTTAGCACGCTGACCTTGCCTTTCTTTAGAAAAAAACAAGAACAAAGGACATGCAAAATTTGACATGAGGCCAAGATGAGTTGTCATTTTTTTCCCTGTTTCTTCACTCTTCCCCCAAGCTCTGCAGTGGCCATCTTGATAAAGAGTCCTGCAGGATTTCAAAGCTCACAGGTTTTTGAAATTTTAGTGATCTTTTAAAGATACGTATTACCCTTGGTTTGGGATTTTGTACAAGGACTATTGTGACTTTAATCAAGAGTAAAGTTTGTGTGTTAATCCTCCTCCCATTTTCCTGTCAAAAGTAGCCACACAAAGCTGTTAATTACCTGAAGAATCTATTTGGAACAGCAAGAAATATCTGTGGGAATTATTTCCCATAGGAGGCGGGGGGGGGGAACAAAAACCTCAGTCCATGCCACATTCTTGATCTGGATCAGAGAATTTGGTCAAGGGTCATGGACAGTTGGACCCTAGCAGTGGCTGCCCTGGCTTTTAAAAATTTCGTTTGATACCTTATTTGTTAAATCAGTTATTCCATATTTTATTTAGACTTGCCAGTCCAAAATCTGTGGACACTCTAAGGTTATCTGGTTTTAACTATGTACAAAAGAGAGATCAGTTGTTGTTGTCTTAAAGCTATGAATAATCATGCACAAACTATGTATGTGTGGAGTATCCTGACATTAAAGACTCCCCCTCATACTAAGGTCCCCAAAGGCTTCCCTAGGATAAAAGCACAGCATTTTCTCAGTAAGGCTCATATTACAAAAGCCCATCTAGGACAATAATTTCAGTATTTGAGAATCGCATAATATGCTTTTTTCTTCTTTGTAACTAGAGCTCTCACCTGCCACCAGTATAGTCATGAGGAATGACAGATGCAGAAGCAGTAGGGAAGAAACAAGAGTTCACTGACCTAATAGACAATTTGAATTGTCAGTCAGAAAACTCAAAACAGATTTCAGATTGTAAAAAATAAATGATGGCACAGTCCTTGAATTACCTAAACATGCATGTAGTGAACATGTAGATTTGTCCCTTAGGCGTGTTGAAATTCTGATATGGACTCATGAACATCAGACAGAAATACTCTATCCACTGAATAAAGTCTATGAAGCACTTCCTTTGTAGAAAGTCCATGAAGCACTCCTTGGATGGCACTCAGGTCTCCTTAGATGGCTTCTAGGAGTGAGTTTACTTTGCAGTATTTCATCTTATTCTTCACTCCTTGACCAAATATTTGTACTGGACCATCCTCCCTTCATAGCTGTTTGGCTTGTCAAAATAGTCAGTGGTAGCCAATTTCTATTAGCAGGCTGAGGAAGGTAAAGGAGTGCGCCAGGTCAAATTTTTGACAACTTCTCTGCATTTGTCTGCCATTTTTGGTCTTCTTCATAGCATGTTCAAGGTGCCTTATCTCACAGTGGTTAAAATCCAGCTGTACACCGTTGTGTCATGCAAAGCTGAGGTTGTCATCAGCCGTGGCCTTTTATCACTAGTAAAAAAAATTTAAATTCCTCCCCCTCTCCAGGTTCCAAGGCTCCCTAGGGATCCTTTGAATCCTGGTGAAGCCTTTGGGAGTCTTGGTATGAGGGGGAGTCTTTCAGAATATCACTTTGATATGAGATTGGTGGTGGCAAGGCCCCCAGAGGCTTCTGCAGGGCTAAAATGGACCCCCGAAGCCTTGGTACCATGGGGAAAATAGGAAGCATTTAATTAATGATAAAATACCATAGCTGATCACATTGTTAGCCTCATGCAGAGTGCCGTATTTTTCCGTGTATAAGACGCCCCCCTTTTGAACCCAAAGTTAAGAAATCTTAACTTAGCTTTCACTATTCAGCCTCTGGGCTCAGAACGCTCAGACATTATGATTCCTTTTGAATCTGAGCACTGGCTACAGGCTCCACCTCCAACAAGGTGTGTTCCAGTTGTTCAGCATCAACTGACATCAGTTCCATAAGGCTCGTGGTTGGAGGAAGCTAAGTCTCCTGACTGTAGGAAGCTAAGCCTCGTGATTGAAGTAAGCCTGTTTATCGAGGCAAGGTACGGGCAGTTCTGTTCTCTTTTCAGCTTACTTCTGTGTATAAGATGCCCCTCAATTTTTAGTGCAATGATTTTAGGAAAAAGTAGCGTCTTATACATGGAAAAATATGCAACTGGATTTTGGCAAGTGATTTAAAAGATATATGTTTCAAGAAAAAATACTTTTTTTCTTTGCTTGTTCAGGATATTGTACTAGTATCCAAACTATGTGGTGAAGGACGCCTTCAAGAATGTGATTTCCCTCACCACCTGCAGGCTAAAATGTTACAGTCCTTTCTATCATCTCATTCCCACACATATTTAAACCAGGTCTCCATGATGTGGTCACAAATGCAAGCTCTGTTTTCAGCAGCAAAAACTCATATATGGCTTCACTTCTACCTCCAACTGACAAGAAAAGAAAGTGTACCAGGCTAGCATAGAAAGTTATGGCTAATATACCTAGTGATTTTCTGTTTGCATAAATAACCTGAATACTTGGTTTCTCATTCTGGGTAACAGGGCTTCTACTGTAAAGTCCTTATAGATAGGAAACTAGCACAGCATGAAGAAGATTCAGAATTATAATCCCCACCTATAGTATGGACTCATTGCTATACCTCAGGGTACTTCATAATTTATATTTGTTCATGTTACTAAATAAAGTAGATTATTTTAATTTATAAAACAAGGTATTGTGGATCTCCTCCTATGTTTCTCTCTTTCTCTTTTCTAGACTACCTGCAGTAAGGACAAGGTGTAGAACCTTTGTAGCTATAATTTATTCGTCTAGAAGCAAAAAGCTTCTTGGACATGCATTTTACCTACTGTGTTGAAGCAGCCAATTTAAACTGGGCCCCTCTGTTCTGGGAAGGAGCAAGCCTTTAACTATAACAGGCTCAATATATTCTTGTTTGTTGTGGAAACCTCATCTCCATTCTGGAACTGTCTTGAATTTATCCTGGGTATGGTAACTATGTACATTGTAAAAAGTACCCTATCCTTAGTGGTTAATATGTAAACCGAGTGCTTAGGTACAATTATACTGTGACGAATTGTAGTGTAAAAATATAATAGAGAAACATAAGAAGCCTTTTAGTATGTTACCCTAAATTTTAATTATGTATATAGATATAAATATATAGTTATAGATATGGGATGAAATTGACATTTGAAGAAAAAGAGCGAAGCCTCAACCCACTTTAGCATTTTTCTTTGCCGATAAATTAACGGGCTGTACACTTACTTTCGTTTCCACCCAACAGGAAAAGATACAATAGCCTTTAACAAATAAAATAGAAGTATTTAGAAGGTTGTTGTAGGTTTTTCAGGCTCATTGGCCGTGTTCTGAAGGTTTTTCTTCCTAACGTGTCACCAGTCTCTGTGACTGGCCTCTTCAGAGTCACAGAGACTGGCGAAACGTTAGGAAGAAAAACCTTCAGGATAGGTCCAAACAGCCTGAAGAACCTACAACAAGCATCGGATCCAGGCTGTGAAAGCCTTCAAGAATACAGTATTTAGAAGCCTTAACACAAACATTGGATATTCCAATCTATGGAAAAGATACAACAGACCTTAGAAAAAATTAGAAGCATTTCCCAGTACTGTTTGCAGGTGCTGGCTACTACTTTTCATGGAGATTTCCACAAAACATTAGATTTTTCTCTTTCCTCTTTCCTTCTTACTGGTTTTGTTTGCAGAGAAGAATGCTAAAGTTTAGATTGAAGATTCCTTTCGTAGTGTGTTATCTTTCTATATGGAACAAAGGAACGCATAGGAAATTTCACTGTGAGAAATATCTGTTATGCAATATAATAGAAAAGCCTTTAAGTAATATTATTCACAATTTACTACATTATTTTTATTTGACAAGATTGTCTTCCTCTGGTACAATTATAAATCTTTTGCCATTTTTCTTTCATGAAACAAAGAATAAGACTTTATGATCTCTGTCTTTCAAAGGTTGTTGTTGAATTAAGTACTTCTTCATGTTCCTTCTTAAATAATGCTTATTTAACAGTATATCTAAGCACTAATTATTTTTGGAAGCATTTCCAATATCCTACCCTTAAATGAAAATTGTCAGGGCACTGAGTTAAGATGTTGTTGTTTTTCTGTTCTTTTTCCAGGAAATACATGATTTGTTAAAAGACTTTGAACTGAAGTATTGTTATGTGGACAAAAATAAAAGAACAGGTGAGAATCAGACTTGAGCATTCTAATGAACGTTTTATTCAGTTTCTGTAAAATTTATGAGCCAGTATCCTGTTGCTAGTCTCAACTAGAAAGGAGACCCCGGAATCAGTTGCTGAATGGTAAGTCAATCCTTATGTAAATCCAGTCCAGTCAATCAATGACCCTTCTCTAGTTGAGGCGCTAGTAATATAATATTGCTCATTGCCTTAAAATGTGCCTGCAAGGCTCTAATTCAGATATAATGTAAAACCATGGTCTTTTGTCAGGCCTTCAAAAAGTCTTAGTCTGGGACTCCTCATGCGTCTCTACTTTGTACCTTGAGTTTTGGAGGTACAGTATGTGGGTGTGGATGTTCCACAAATCATATTGTACTGTTTCATCTGAACTGGTAAACTATGCTTTGCAGCACACCAGGAAGGAATGAAGGGAAATTGAAGAGCATGATAGGAAGAAGGAGAATAAAGTGTTCCCACCTGAGGCCCTGCAATATTGCAGTGATATTCATTCTGCTGCACAGTAGCTTGTTGTTGCACTTGAACTAGTAGGGGTGTGCTCTTTTTTGTGGTGGTGGGGACTCCAACTCTCAGCATTCCCCAAGAATTTTCCAGACAGAATTCTGGGAGTTCAAGCCTACCAAACCCCCACCTACAGACCCCTACCTTTTTGATCCCCTAGATAAGGGGCCTACCTCTGAGGCGGCACTGACTTCTCGGGCCTTTGCTTCCTGTTATTAATTAAAAACAAAACAAAAGAAAGCTGCCAGAGTTCTTCCGTGGAGTCAAAGTTCCTTGGGAAGTGCTGCCTCCCACAAGTATTTTTGTATTGCCCTTGTGTGGTTAACTCAGCTGAGGCTTGATTGGTGCTTCTGTGTGGTTGTCGGTGGCTTTGCACTGCTGTGATGCAGCTGCATCTTGCCAGGCTAACCCAAAGCAACAGAGCAATTGGCAATATCATTGCTTTTGTAAGCATTTGAGTGAACCTCTGAAACTTCTTTAGGTGCAAAGAGTGCCAGTTTCTTGCTAGATCTAGTTATTTCCATTTTAATGAAACACCATTAATTTACTATGGTTTAGTCAGAATTACTTCATCAATCATAGATTCACTTTAAACATACATAACATTTAGTGCAGTTATTATGGCTGGAGGTGGCTGGAACAGTATACAAAGGTGAACCCATAAAGATTGTTTTTTTTTCTGGAAGTATTAATATGCGCATTCTTGTATTTGGAGTGGCTAATTTTTACTAGTCTAAATCTTTGCAAATCCTGAATCCTATTTATTCCTAGGATACAGTAGAGAAGTTGGGGAAGTAGAATGGTTTCAGTATCACATCTGGCTAAGGGGAGTTGGTGCTCCTGTAAGCATTGCACCACACTTCAGTTTTCAAAGTCTCAGTCAAAGACTGCTGATCCATCTTGTCTTTCTCCTTCTGTTTATGGCACACAGGCTGTGATATTATTGTACATCCTGACTACTGTTAGATATCTGTTACAGTTTGCATTTTTACTATTTGAGATTTTATTATTTATTGTTTGTTTGGAGCTACAAAATATATTGCAACTTATATAATAAAGAAGGCTTTTATAGTATACCTAGACCAAATCTTTAATGATGTTTGAGCAAATATGTACATTTGTGCATGTGTTTAATTGGCATAGCTAAGTTAAATAGCTATAACTAAAATAAAATTGTGGGCTTTTTTAAAAGTCTGCCTCTCATGTTTATAATTTATTCAATAAACCTCTTGGACTTGAGGATAGTGTATCATCTGATTATTTAGGCTTGAAATAAAATGTTAACATTTCCAGTTCACAGTGATATCATCTTTCCAGTCAGTTTCACTTCTGCTTGGGTTTCGGTGTTCAATTTTGGTGTTCAGCTCAGATCCTGAAGCTGAGGCTCCAATACTTTGGCCATCTCATGAGAAGAAAAGACTCCCTGGAAAAGACCCTGATGTTGGGAAAGTGTGAAGGCAAGAGGAGAAAGGATGACAGAGGACGAGATGGTTGGACAGTGTCATCGAAGCTACCAACATGAATTTGATCAAACTCTGGGAGGCAGTGGAATACAGGAGGGCCTGGTGTGCTCTGGTCCATAGGGTCATGAAGAGTCAGGCACGACTTAACGACTAAACAACAACAAGAAGAAACAGATGATTAATAGGCATTCTGGAATAAAAGATGTTTTCTGTTTTAAACAGTACTTGTAACTGGAGCTTCCTGGAATTGAATTTCTTGAAAAGAGTCAATTGAAATATGATATGTCAGCAATAGCCTTAAAAGGTTATGATGTGCCAGGCAGCACACTCCGCTTCCACCTGCATCATGGCATTTTTTTTTTACAAATCCCCATGGAGGTGGGGGAGGGGGAGAATGTCTTGCTGAAATGAAATGCTACCTCACAATTTTGCTTAAAATCCCATAACTATAAATCTTTTGAGCTGTTAATACCCTTGCTAATAATTTTAAAGTTTGGGAATTAAAAACTTTTAGTATTATTTTTTAAAATCAGTATTTCCTTGCACTGTGAGTTTATAGAATTTAGGACTATTCATAATTAAATTTGGTCAGGATGCTTACATCATAGATTATGTTAAATGGTAGTGTTTATGAGTTTTCACTGGTCTTCTCTGCTGCTCCCCTGCATCCTCTGTTGTGAGGAGAGGTAACCTCATGAAATGCCTGAGATCCTAAGGTTTAGGTCTCCAGTGGGGAATAGAAATTATGGTGTATCTCGTGGCAACAGCTTTATAAGGCAAGATATCTGCTCTTCAGTGAGTCAGATACTATAATAATACATGTTTAAAATTCAGATTTGTGCTACTATAAAGAAACGTCTTAGTAAGAATATACCAGCTTTTCTTTTATACCATGTATTGTTTATGTTGCTGCGTACCTTGCTTTGGGCATTGCAAAAGTTGACCACAGAGATTTTCTTTTTCCAAGACTGTATTGTCGCTAAAGATGAATTGTGGTAACGTGTATGTAAATATGTTGTTTGTTTGCCGCTTTTCAGCTTTTGTTACTCTACTGAATGGTCAACAAGCCCAGAATGCTATACACCAATTTCACCAGCATTCCCTTCGAGGGAAAGAGATATCAGTACAACTTCAGCCAACTGATGCCCTCCTCTGCATTACCAATTTGCCCACCTCCTATACATTGCAAGAGTTTGAAGAGCTGGTCCGACCGTATGGCAACGTTGAGAGATACTTCCTTATTTATAGTGAAGTCACAGGCTATTCAAAGGGCTATGGCTTTGTGGAATACATGAAAAAGGATTCTGCGGCTAAGGCTAGGTTGGAGCTTCTAGGAAAACAGATAGGTGCAAATATACTATTTGCCCAGTGGATGGATGTTAACCAATTAACTTCAAAACTCATACATTCAAAGTGCCTTTGTGTGGAAAACCTCCCTGTAGACTATACCGATGCAGAGGAGCTGGTGCAAACATTATCACCTAAGCACAAACCTGTGTTCTGTCAGGTATGTAAAAAGTATTTATTTTGAAGATCTGCATTTGCAGACTTTATGGTTTGACTACACTGTTTCCATGGATTTACCTTTGTTCGGTTTACAACTTAATATGTTCAAACTAGAGAATGATTGTGCTATTTGCAACGGTTCTGGTTGTCATGTAAAGGTTTTATTAGGTTTGGCTAGCCTCTGTTAAGTCATCTGGAAACTAACTAACTAACTAACTAACTAACTAACTAACTAACTAACTAACTAACTAACTAACTAACTAACTAACTAACTAACTAACTAACTAACTAACTAACTAACTAACTAACTAACTAACTAACTAACTAACTAACTAACTAACTAACTAACTAACTAACTAACTAACTAACTAACTAACTAACTAACTAACTAACTAACTAACTAACTAACTAACTAACTAACTAACTAACTAACTAACTAACTAACTTAAAATATATACTCTAAAAATTGCCATCAGGACCCATAGTTGATATTAGTTCAAATAAAGCCTTCTGGAACAGGAAGGTTTTGACCTGGCACCGAAATGTCATCAACATCGACGCCAGAAAAATCTCAGTCGGGAGGGCGTTTCATAGTCTGGAGGCAGCTGCCGAAAAGGCCCTTTGTCTGCAAGCCATCCCTCTTACCTCCTTGAGGGACGGCTCTTTCAGAAGGGCCCCCTGGCTAGATCTTAACTGCCAAGAAGGCTCATATGGAAGGAGGCAGTCCTTCAGGCATCCAGGGCCCAAGCCGTTTAGGGCTTTTTATGTCAAAACAAGCACTTTGAATTGGGCCCGAGCAGTAAAGGGCCATGTGGACCACTGCTCTGTATAGTCCACTTCTCCCCAGCATTTAAAGAATTGTTGTTTTATGGAACTTCAAAAGAATGTTTAAACTTTCATTTATAAATCTGGGGCCCCTGATTTTTTTTTTTGAGGAGGGGTAAGAAAGAAAAAGTAACAACATTCCTTCATTGTATAAAAATATTGTTCTTGTAGAATCCGAAATAATCTCAATTTGGAAATAATTACTAAAAAAAGATAATTTGCCAGCCCTGCATCTGATGAATCAGACTCTAAAAGTAATCTTATGCCATAATAAATCTGCCTGTCTTTTATGTGCTACAAGATTTTCTGTGGCATTTTACTGAAACACATTAACCCTACTGTTCCTCTAGAAAATGGAAAATACCAGGAAATGTAGCATCACTTTTTGAAAGGGGCCAGAAATTATTTGACCATTTAGTGCTTCTTGCTCATAGAACTGGAGAAGTTCCATAGCTTTTTTCATTCTCTTTGTTTCAATTATCTTTCATTCTTTTTCAGATACACTCGAAGTTTATTCTGTTACAGGCTGACATTCACATGTTATTTTTCTAAATATTTTCACAATTTTATTTATATAGAACTGCTCTCATGCAATATTTCTTCTCTAACCTTTGGCAGTACCTATATTATTGTCAGATAATGTGTGGAGAAATTATTTACTGTTTTATCTTTTCATCTGTATTTGGCATTTGGATACATCTTAGGAGCATTCTGATTTGCAAGCGTTGTTTGCCAGGAATCTTCAATCCATGTTGATAGAATTTGCACAGGTGGATTATATCTATTTATGTTTTTATATTGTTCCGGAGTTATTTGATAGGACAGAATGAACAGGTGCTGCATGTTTATCAAAAGGAAACAGCTCTTAGTTGGCTTAAAACAAGCTCTGACAAACTTGTTTCTTGTCTAAAAATTAGCCTACAAGTAAATGATTTTGATTTGGTTACCATAGAACAGCAAACATTTGTGTAAATAAGAGTTAGTTCCAATTGGAAAAGTTGTGATAGTCTGTACAAACATATACAGAAAAAAGAGAAACAGCAATAGAAAACAAAACCTTAAAGAATAACTATTATATTTCAATGTAAGTTTCTGTGGATATAGTCTCTTTTTGAGACATATTAGAGTGAAGCAAAACCACAGGTTATGCACAGGGTAGACACATGGGAAAGATTAGCACGAGGACAACAGCACTGTTGTCACAAGTAATTACCAGAAAGAATGTTACTTTTGAAGAATAGGGCCATACTTGCTATGAGGAGTACAGTGGGAAGAGCCTCAATCAACAGTAATTGTGCGGTGTGGTGTATGTCCACTTGGAGAGCTCATTACTCTGTACTGGGGTTTCCAAACTTTAGACCGTGAGGGCCACACTAGATATCTCCAACATGTTTGAGGGCCAAAGGAAAAGGAACATGTCCATATGTGCAGCCACACACACACGCACACGCACACCATGCACAGATGCCCATACACACGCCCTTTATGTGCATGGGCTGAAGGGAATGGGCTGGATAAAATGGCAAGGCAGGCCAGATGTGGCCCACGGGCCATAGTTTGGAGACCCCTGCTCTATACAATCAAGCAGCAGTTGATCAGTTTCCAGAGTCTAATCCATAAACAGGATTATGAATTAATATATGTAGTGAGCTAAGAGTTCTTGGTAATATTTTGTCCTTTTGATGTGCTCTGTTACTTATGTATGTATCTTAGCTGTCTCTCCTTCCAATCTCTTTTTGTAGTTATTTTCTTCTACAACAGTCATTTGTAGGACATTTCTAGAGTGTCCAGGATATCTGTTCTGAAACAGGTTTTGGTTTGTTGCCATATTTTATATCCGACTTATTTGCTTGCAAAGTGATTGTCATGTTTGTCCTATGCAGACAAGCACTTACGCCCCTAATGTATTGATGTTGTTATTTGTTTTTTGCTACTTTCTTGTTTTGTGTTACTTGCTGTAAACCGCCCAGAGTGGCCTTGGCTGCCAGATGGGTTGTATATAAATTAAATAAATAAATAAATTGCTGGCAAAGGATGGCAAAAATCATACTAGCAGATTAACAAGTGAACGAGTCCCTGATGTTGTGAGTGACATTGTTGGGGCCTGTAATTGTGCAGTGTGGCATATGTCCATCTTCTGGCTTCACAACAATGTCCAGTAAGTGCATCTGCTCTATAGACTGGATCAGACTAAAGTTAATGTTAGCATGAGCATTACTGAAGTTCTCATGGAATTTCTATGGTGCTTCATTTCTTTGGGTACAGATAATAAAAATGTCATCAATATATAGAGGAGTAGTTTGTGAGCACAGCAGTTAAGAATGTGTTGTTTCGGGTTGGTCATAAGTTTATTTGTATATTGTGATGTCATGTGAATGCCCATGGCTGTTCCCTTAATCTGAAGCTAGATGTTGTTGTCAAAGATGAATCATTTGTGTGTGAACAAAGAGTTCAGAAGGCAATGGCTAGGTGATATTTGGCCTCATTCGAGATGATATTCCTGATGGTGTTGAGGGCATCTAGATTCATAGATAGTGATGGTGTCATCAGGGAGGTCTTTAGTTGATTGCAATTTTCTCAAAAATTCTGTAGCTAGGTGCATTGGTAACATAGTTTGAGAATGGAGCCTAAATAGCCAGACACTCCAACAATAATAGTATTGATATTTGATACGGTGGGGCTACTCATATGTTTTCAAATGTAGTTATCCCCCTTATTTTAAATATGTTGATTGTATTATTGAGCATTGCAACATTGCTGGTGCATAGCATCAGTATCTAATAAGTAACCCTTACTTCACATTAATTTATCATGTAATAACATCGTGCTTGCCCTATCCATGTGTGTGTTAAGGAATACTGGGACACAGAATCTACTGAGAAAAGTGAAACTTAATTGCAGTGCTCCAGAAGAATGTATATGATGAATCATACCTTCTGGGTGTTCCTCTAACAGTGCATTCATCATGCCAACTGAAATAAAAACACGTAGTTGTTTTGCTCTGATAATGTTTCTGCAATATTGTAAAAGAAGCAATGTCAGAAGCAAACAGTTTCCTATGCATCAGCTAAAAACTGAAGTGTTAAACTCAACTGAATTTCACTATTCATAGTTTTTTAAAAATGTTTTGTCAACAAAATGGTATTTGAAAATAATTAGTATTCTTTTGTTATAGGGAAGAAATATAAACAGCAATCATATCCGTGATTGATAACTAATACCCACTTTAATCCTGCCTCTTAAATATCCATAAAATAGCTGTCAAATGTGTTTCATAGCTTACATTCTTCATGAGATTAGATAGTGGGGCCATAGTAATTCAAGTACTACAGTATGGCTACCATCTGCAAAATATTTGTGTATTAAATGTAGCTTGAAGAAGGAGTGATCTGCAATGTTAATTCTGTCTTGGAAATGCTGAATATTTTGCGCATGCAGTTTAGTGGGGTGCAGTAATATAGTGATGTTTCAAACAGTTGCTAGAAATGCGTATCTTATTCATTATATTATGAAATGTCTCTGCAGCTTGCTCAAGAGGAAGATAGCTCTGTTGGTGGCTTTGCAGTAATTGAGTATGAAACGGCAGAGCAGGCGGAAGAAGTACAGCAAGGCACAGATGGTTTGACTATCAAAGAGAAGAGTGTTCATGTGTCTTACTGTGCTCCTGGAGCTGCAGGACGCAGCACACTTGCTACACTTATAGCAGCACAACGCATGGTAAGAGAATTTCTACCCCCAAAGGGAAGGTGGGAGTGGTATATTGTTATGACTGTTATCTCTGGGCACAGCAAGCCGATGCTGAGATATCTGTCATTAAATGTAGCTCTGTCATGCCAATTAATTCTCTTAAAAAGAAACAGCAACACAGTTCCTAAGTTCTGTTTGTTCAGCAGCCTGCATGTAAGGCTTGTTCTGCTTGCAGTTATTGCCAAACATTTGGAATTGCTATGAGCTAAATCTATAAATCACTTCTGAACTTTAAAACAATGACCTCTGTATCTATCCTTAGTATGTTCTTATTGATGGATTTAGCTTAGCTGTTGACCTATCACAATCCTTTTGTCCGATATATTGAAGTAAGCCAAATATCCAGAATCTGTGGAGAATACAGAGTGAAAGAGCACACTTGGTATCTGATTGGTTAGTAGCAGAGTCAGATTCATGGACAGGAGCCCCTGCATATTAGTGAATAGTGTCATACTATTTTAAAAAACACACTACAAAACAAAATGCAACATCAACAGCATAAGTAAATACACATTGAAGAAGAACAGACTGGAGTTTACCTCCTTGTTTTACCATGCTTTTCCACCTGGCTATCACCAGACTTTGATGTGTACCTACATTTTCCTCTCCCAGTGAGAGCCAAGAGGGGGCTGCTTTGTCAGAAAGCAGTTGAAAAGAAAGTTTCAGCAAGCATGTCATAATGTTTGGTGAAGGATGGGCTCTGAGCTGTTTCTCTTAGTTAAAGCCGCTGCTGGACTTAGTTGCACATGTGTTTGGTTGCTTGTTTGCCTGGAGCTGTCTGCCAGATCAGTTGACTCTTAACATCAGGCATATGTGGTGCTAAGTGGAGAGATTCTTCTATATGGTGCAGGTTGAAGTGCATCTAATACATATTTACTGTCTCCACATGTACAGCTCCAGTGGAAGAACACTGAATTTAAAAAAAGATGAGGAACTAATAAGGAAGGAAGGGGAATGTGCAAAAGTGTTTGAATGAGTGGCAATGGCAGCTATTGAAAGTTCTGATTAATGTCATTGTACCTAGTGGTGGTACAAGTGGTGGCGCTGCGGGTTAAACTGCTGAAGCCTTTGTGCTGCAAGGTCAGAAGACCAGCAGTTGTAAGATCGAATCCACGCGATGGAGTGAGCCCCCATCACTTGTCCCAGCTCCCGCCAACCTAGTGGTTTGAAAGCATGCTAAATGCAAAAATGCGAGTAGATAAATAGGTGCCACCTCGGTGGGAAGGTAAACGGCATTCCGTGTCTAGTCACGCTGGCCACGTGACCCCAGAGGATTGTCTGCGGAGAAACGCTGGCTCTATGGCTTGGAAACGGGGATGAGCACCACCCCCTAGAGTCGGACACGACTGGACAAATTGTCAAGGGGAACTTTACCTTTTTATTTAGTGAAACACTTAAGAAATCTACTTAATTTTGTCTTAGTCTAAAGATAAAATTAAAGGTACATTTATGCTATGTAGTCACTTTGGTTAAGGGTTTTCATAGATCAGTTTAAGGTGCCTTATGTATTGCAGGCACAAATAAGCTTTTATAATACAGTGGTGCCTCGCTTGACGAGGATAATCCATTCCAGCGAAATCGCTGTAGAGTGAAATCCTCGTCAAGCGAAATAAAAAAGCCCATTGAAACACATTGAAAACCACTCAATGTGTTCCAATGGGCTAAATCCCTCAGTGTCCAGCGAAGATCCTCCATAGGTTGGCCATTTTCCGATGCCTGTGCAGCGAAAAATCCATCCTAAAGCACAGTGGGGAGCCATTTTACACAGCGGGTGGCCATTTTGAAACCCGACAATCACCTGTTTTGATCATTATAATGCGAAGAATCAGTTCCTGAAGCAGGAAACCGATCATTGGGGAGCAAGTTTTGCCCATTAAAACATCGGTTTGCGGTCGCAAAAGCGATCACAAAAACCTCATTGTCAAGTGGATTCGTCGTTTAAAGGTGTAATCGTTAAGCGAGGCGCCACTGTACATTTAATTCAGGTGGTATACCCACCTTACCGTCTTTCATGTAAGATTGTCCAGAAGTCTCAGATTGGGAAGTAAGGTTGCTTGCTTTTCAATGTTCTGAAGTGCTGCTCTTTGCCGTAACCATTAGTAAGTACATGTGCAATGACAAAAACAGTCATGGTTGCAATAATAGGAACACTATTCTATGGGAGCTTATAAAGTTCTGAATGTGTTTAGTCTCCTATAGTGCTGCTAAATTGTGTTTCATGAAATGCAGCATTTACAAAATAAAATTTCTCCTCCCCCCCTTCTTATTTGTCCTTTATTCAAGATGAGGAACAACAGAAAAGGGTTGCTTCCAGAGCCAAATGCGCTGCAGATTATGAAAAGCTTGAGCACACCAGCAATGTTACAAATGTTGTTACAACCCCAACTACATGGATGTCTTAATAAACTTGGTAAGCTTTAAAGTATGTACTCTGAAGTTCAGTGGTGTCTTTTTGTTGGCAATTTGATAGTGCAACAACTTCAGCTTGAAGTGGATAGGAGAAAATAAGAGTCATCATCTAGTCAGATCTATTCCCCTAATCCACTATATTTGTTTATTATTAGCATGAAACCATCTTAAAAAGTGTTGTACTGCCTTACTATGTAATGCTATATGACACTTTCAGATATCCCTGTTTTGATAATGTATATATTGTATCTACTTTAATCAAACCTTGGATCCTACTGTTCAGCTTCTTGGGCAAAGCACCAGGGCTCAGACCTGCCTGTAAATCATACCCCAATGAGAAAGTCCTGCACTGTCATCTCAGATGGGTGGAATCCTCTGCAAAATTTCTGTGCTGATGAATAGGGATATGACATTTAGAGTCTTCCAGTTAGCATTCAAACAGATTCCTTTTTTTAAAAAACCTTGGAGCTAACCTGGAGTTAGACCACAGAACCTTTGAGCTAGGCCTTTCTACGCATGAGAAAAATTGATGTGTCTGTAGGATTGGGTCTGTCAGGTGGAACTCCCAGAATGGAAGCTGGAGGCCAAAATATCTGAATGGTACATTCCTAGTAAAGAAAGCTACTTTGCAGTGGTTTAGAATTAAACCACATGTTGTTGCATGAAGTTTTATGTGTTCGCACCTGGATCTACCACAGTCATGTATAAAGTGAAGGGGGAGATTTGATTTCTGAGAGCAAAAAGGCTTGACGTTGACTTGTGCAGGTTCTTGGCCTGCTGGTAGCTTCCTCCACTGCAGTCTGACTTCTCGCATCACTTTTCCTTCAGTTGGACTCTCATGTCAGAATTGAGCCCTCCGGGGAGAAGAGTACACTTGGAGAGAGGTTGCAGGGAGGTAAGCCGTAAGAAGGAATCATGCTTATCACTCATATGCCCATTTTGCTTCTTAAATCAGGCCCCCTCCTCTTGTATTTTTGCATGACTGTGGCTGATCCATCTTCAGGCACCTGAATTTTCTCCTTCCATGTCTTATTTAACCTTTAAACATTCTCCATGTTTTGCAGAGTTGGGCTCTAATAATAGAAACAAACTCTGTAGTTAAGCCTGATTGTTCCTATGATGGGTTTAATTGTTCTCTGCTACTTGCTTTACTCCTTTATGATTGTTTCTCCTGTGCTGAGCCTCTTGTTCTCCAACCCTTGCTGATCCTAAGAGAGCTGTCCCCATGAATGCTAAATTCACTCAGGAATCTTTGGCAAAGGACTTCATTAAAAACTGTTTGATAGTCTGGGGTTTTACTGTGTCACCCCTATCTCTGTTCCTGTTTCCTCTACTTTTGCTCTCAAAGAACTTCAAAAGGATTGCTTGTTTTGCTCTCAACAGGACTTGTTTTTCTGTTTGATAATTATAGAATTAACGTCTTTTGTTATTAACCCAAATATCCATGCTTGCACACCTTGCAGCTTTTGCAGCATCTGGATAGATGGCTTGCATATTGTTTTACCATTAGAAGTAAGACATAAATTTTATCAAACTTTCTCTAAGTTATAGTTATACTTCTAACTGGGGGAACATTTTCATTCTAAATGGGAAGAATTATCTTTATTCAAGGATTTTGCATTGCCATCATTGCAGTTGGGTGTAGGTAGGCAGGAACATCCCCATGGTACCTGAGAGGAAATACAGTACACTATTTTGCCCATATGTTATGACATGCCAAAGTAGATCCCATGTGAATTGCAAGCAACTCTCAGGCATACCAGTTATTTATAAGTCTAGTCAATGCAAAACATTTGGAAAAGGTAAATGTAATGTAAAATTCATCTTTGGTAATTCATTTTACCATAATGCATCGCTGTGCTATAGATTTATAATAAATCTGGCAATTTATTATGTTTTCTAAAGCAGTTTTCGGAGCGCCCATGAGCGTACCCCACCTTGTAAGTCCATCAATCAGCCCAGCCTTTATGCACTTGAATAAAGTTCATCAGGTATGTTTGTAAATTGATATAAAATGTGTTGAATCAACATTTGATCAGAGTTCACTTGCCACTCAAGCAAAGTTTCAATTATATTAAGCATCATTAACTTACAAAATAATAACAATAAGGTACTGTTGAATCTGTAATTCAGAATGAGGTGCTGAGTTATCAGTGCATTTATTTTCCATTCTTAACAGCAAGATCAGCTGCTTGTATCATAAGATGATATTGCCCCAAATCCTGTTGCTTTGTATAGTAAATTGCATTAGAATAGACCCGTTGAATCAATGGGAATTTGGTAAATTAGTCCTTTCAAAAGCTCTGTTGACTCAAATGGTCCTACACTAGCTGCAATTTATTTTAGCATAGTAAGGTATAGTTAAAGTGGGCTCATTTGAATCAATGGAACCTATGAAGGACTCTACACACACCCCTTGATTAAACAGGCCTGCTCTAAACAACAAGATTTTGGCTATTGCTTAACTTCTATAGTTTGCTCATTAAGGGAAAAAAGGATAGATGGATTGCCTTAATGTCTTCATTAAACAATAGATGTAAGGAAGGGAGTCCTATAAAAATAAAGCATATTTTTGTTAGTTAGATTCCCAACATATGCCCTTATTTTGAATTGTCTGAGACTTCTGATGCATTATTGAAGTATTAGGAAATCTTGAGATATATTATTTGAGCTGTGTTAATAGCCAGCACTATTTTTAAATCTCAGTGGGTAAAAGAAGAATAGAAAACAGGTACAACATACCTCATTAAAAGCATCATTAAAACAAAATATTCTAACCTATTCGCTTTGCAAATTCATGTACCTGTAAGGCAGCATGAATGCTTATAAACCTTTTCTCATTTATTTAGATGTCTGCTGAAGCTTCTGTAATTTTGCAGGGGGAGTTTAAACCATAAGAGAGAATAATAGGTATTTAGATACTAGATTTCCATGTTAATTATTCAAAGAGTTCTTCCGGCTCTTTATTATGTAGACTTCTTGTAAATACACACCAGTTAACTGTGTGGTGGCAGTGTTTTTTTGTGCTGGAAGCAAAGACTGAAGACATGTGCATCACATGCTTGCATTTCTCTTACTAACTCTTTTGCTGGTATATGCTGTTAGTGTTAATCTTCCTGTGATCTTGCCAACTGTTTACTACTTCTTTGCAAAGGAAAATACAGGTTTTTGTTTGTCTCATGGTAGAAGGGGAGGCATGTTTTACTTAGCAAGAGTCTAACAGATGAGGATCAGTTGCTGTCCTGGACTAACTGTTCCACAGTGAACAAAGATGGGTCTTTACAAAAGAATCACACATGGATTATTAAAGGAAAATTTTCTGCTTTTCATTATTCATTAAAGTTAAGCCCAGAACATTAATTTAGTATCCATATAATGAGCTGTATGTTCTCACTTCACACATTTGGGGCACCCTTCTTGGGAAAAAAATATTTTTATATGCTAGTGCTAACAAAACTGCTTTCCATAGCTTTCTTGGAACACCATGTTTTTCTGGAATTGGCAGAAGGAATTGGCAGCACACTCTGTGTTTACTAGCTGAACAATAGTTTATCTTGAAAAAAATACCACCTATGTGTATTCTTCCTTTGAAAGACATGTACATGCAAACAAAAATGCATAATACATACATGAGTAGGAAGACCAAGTGTTGAACTCCATTATGCAAGGATGATGGGAGCTGTAATCTGGCAGGGTATGAAGGGCCAGAGGTTCCCCATCCTTGACCTACAATTTCAGTACTGTACCATTTTTGAACAAATATTTACGGAACAGCCACCTTAAATGTTGTGACCTAAGTCCTGTTGCCAACCAGACTAAACCCATAGGCTGAAATCCTGTTGCTTAGTGTAATGAGTTGCACCTACAGTAGGTTCACTGATTCAGTGGAATTGATGGAGGAATTAACTCATCAAATCTCTACTGATTCAATTTTTAAAATTAGTATTTTATTTTTATTTTTATTATGTTATTATTGCTATTATTATTAAAAATATAAAATAAAAATAAAAATAACTCAAAATATAACAACAACAACAACAACAACAAACATAATCATCATCATCATCATCTCTACTGATTCAATGAGCCTACTCTAATTGTGACTTAGGGTGCTAAGCATCAGGACTTCAGTGTTTGAATCAGCTGCTGAATTGTATGTCAACCTACATTCGCTCTAAGCTGTCCTTATGTGCAGAGCTCCATCAAGGCTGTGCACTGGCAGCTGGTATTCCTGCCGTTTAGTTCTGATTTCAGTTGGAACCACCCCCCAATGCATGAATGGGCAAGGCTCCCACGCAGGGACTGAAAACTCCTGTTGATTCATTGAGTCTACACTTGTTTTGATTAGCAAGTGGATATAGACCTTTGAGAGGAAAAATGATTGCTTTATGGCAATTGAATTGAAGTATTATAGAGAAAATCCATACTAGAATGCAGCATCAGTTAACAATGGAGAAAATCTCTTTGAATTTGTTTTACTTTCCCCCCCAATATTATGTTTTGATGTACTTAGTTTATGTATTTATATAGTAATGTAATTTTTGAAAATATTAGAAATTTCTAGTTTTATTATTAGTCCCAACTAAAATAGATACATTAACTCAATGCAAATTAGTTTTTGAACACATGGTATGGCTAGTTTTGTGATTGTTAAATAAAGATTCTGTTACGCCTTTATATATTTCTCAGTATACATTTAAACAATTATCTCTAAACATCACTGAAAACTAGCTGAGGTCTATGTTGTGCTATTTAGGAATACCCTTATTTTCCTCCTGGGGAGCTTGCTTCCATTTTTGTTTTCTGAGCATATGCTATTAACCGAGCCCTATGAGGACCGACCAAAAGAACTGGACATGTTTAACCATGAGAAAAGAAGACTGAGAGGAGATGTAATAGCACTTTTCAAATATTTGAAACGTAGTCATACAGAGGAGGAGCAGGATCTGTTCATGATCATCCCAGAGTGTAGGACATGTAATAATGGGCTCAAGCTACAGGAAGCCAGATTTAGGCTGAATATATCAGGAAAAGCTTCATAACTGTTAGAGCAGTATGACAATGGAACCAGTTACCTCAGGAGGTGGTGAGCACACCAACACTGGAGGCATTCAAGAGAAAATTGGACAATCGTCTGTCAGATCTGCTTTGACTTGGATTCCTGCATTGAGTGGGGGGTTGGACTCGATGACTTTATAGGCCCCTTCCAGATCTAAGATTCTGTGATTTTATGATTTGTCATGCTGTTTGTGGGTTACCCATAGGGATGTGGTTGGCCTTCATGGGAGTAGATACTGGAGTAGCATTCTTCTGCACATTCTTACGAACTCTGCCTGGCCTTAGGAAACTGACTGCTATTCACTTATGTTTGTTAAAAAACTGTTTGTGTAGTGCTAGAAGACTGCTGTGGAAAATGGCTACCGTCCTTAATTACAGATATACAGTGAGTGACCTGTGCCAGAAGTTGTAATTCTATATACATCTGTCATAGCTTTCCCTGGCTGACCAATGGAATTCTGGATATTTGGAAAGCAAGGATATGATCCTAATTGCCAACATCTATATGAAAGGAATTCCCTATTTGCATTTTTATTTCTCAGAATGCTGAGTAATGCTGCTCCCAAATATAATTTATTTCATTTTTCTTTTCCAATTGACAGGGACCAGTTCTTGGAAATCCATCAAGTTTGGTGCTACAGAATCTCTCCCATCTACAGGTGCCGCAAGTAGCAAAGACTGAAAATATTCAAACAAACACTGTGAGTTGAGCAACATAGACTGTGTATAAGATGGTAGTAACTATCTTTTAAACAGTCATTATGCATAAGATTTTCTAAAGTGGCAATCTTCCTCCTGAACACTAGTCTTCCCACCAGAGTCTGGAACTCCCTCCCACAGAAGGCCAAGCTGGCCCCATCTTTGCTGTCATTACACAGGCAGGCAAAGACATTTCTCTTCAGGCAGGTTTTTCCTTAGTAAGCAACTGTCTAGGAGACAATAAACAGGCTGGTTTATATTTTGTTTCTTCTAAATCTGTTTTTAGTTAGTCATGCTTTTTCCTAATATTTTTTATTAAAATGTTATTAATTTTGTCTTTATATTTGAATAACTTACTGTTTTTAGCTTTTAATATTGTGTTTCAAATTATGTAAGCCACCCTGAGTGCTTTTTTATGAGAAACGTGGGATGAAAAGAAAAAATAAATAATACATGCTGTCTTTCTGCTACAGATAAAATATTATTTTCTTTCTTTGGTCAATTTTCTGTTATCAAATAGTACTGTATAGGGTTAATGTATTTGCGAAGGCTTTCACGGCCAGGATCTAATGGTTGTTGTGGGTTTTTTCGGGCTCTTTGGCCGTGTTCTGAAGGTTGTTCTTCCTGACGTTTCGCCAGTCTCTGTGGCCGGTATCTTCAGAGTGCTGTCCTCTGAAGATGCCGGCCACAGAGACTGGTGAAATGTTGGGAAGAACAACCTTCAGAACATGGCCAAAGAGCCCGAAAAACCCACAACAACCAGTATAGGGTTAGTTTTTTTTTTAAGTATCTGCACTTGAAAGGTTATGGAACAGTTTAGCAAAATATTTATAGCAATAAACAATACTTCTGTGCTTATTTGCAGAAACCAAGTCTGCTTGGAGAACCTCCAGCAACATTACTTCAGGCAGTGCTAGGAATGGGCACTGTACCACATGTGACCACAGATGTGGGGAGCCCTGGAGAAGCACGCAGCTGCAAGTGCCATTTTGTTTCCTATTGTAGTTAAAGTGCTAATTTTGGGGGGAGATGCACCTCTGTATAATGTATCTATAATTATGAAGGTAGCCATTTAAGAAGCATGCTCAAGTTCTCCTGCATCAGCCATGGATGCTTAGTGACTTCTGTCTTATGGGATGTTGTGGCTATTTTCTGTTTAACACCCGGAGGCTAGTAGCTCAGTTTTAGAAAAGGTAAACAATTTCTCAAGGAAGTGGGTAGTGGGAATGATGGCCACAGGATTTTTGGCTGTAGTTGTCTTCAGTTGTCCCCAAACTTCACAAACACCAGTGCATTAAAACCCTCTTTCTTTTAATGCCCAAAGTTGTTATGTGCCAAAGATCAACATATCTTAAATTGTAGCTCTTTGTACTTGTAAATAGTAGCTTCTGTTTTTTTCTCTGTAATTTATATTTTAGTGAGGAAAACATGGTACAGTGGTGCCTCGCATTACAATCGCTTCGTTTAACAACAAAATCGCATTACAATGAACTTTTTGCGATCGAAAAAAGGTTCCTATGGGGGAATTTTGCTTTGTGATGATCGGTTCCCTGCTTCGGGAACCGATTCTTCGCAAAAACGACGATTTTCCAACAGCTGACTGGCGGCTTCTAAATGTCCTCCGGGTAAATAAAATGGCTCCCTGCTGTATTTAGGGACAGATTCCTCACAAGACAGGCAGCGAAAATGGCTGCCCTATGGAGGCTCTTCGCTGGACAGCGAGTTTTAAGCCCATCGGAACGCATTAAACAGGTTTTAATGCTTTTCTATGGGCTTTTAAATTTCGCTTTACAATGTTTTCATTCTGCAGCAATTTCACTGGAACGAATTAACATCGTAATGCGAGGCACCACTGTATTTCATTCAGAGCAAGTATAACGATTTAATATATAAATCTGCTTATAAAAGTAACAATTAGAGATGGGGGTATTTGTATTCGTATATGAATATGAATATCCCTGCACAGGTGCAAATAATGAGGGCCCGGCCACCATGGGGCCAGACTGTCCACTCACAATTGCTGCTGCTGGCTCCATGGTGCCTTCCTATTGTGCCATTGTCCGCGACCGATTACCAACCAAGCTTCTCTGCTTGGTTGGAGAGTGGCTAATCTATTGAAGAGATAGATAACAACCCTCATTATTTCCACCTGTGTGGGGATATTCGTATTCCTATACGAGTACCCCCATCTCTAGTAACAATGTTAGACATAGGATTTATAAGCAAAACTCTGTTTGAAGGGTACTGTTGAGCAACATGACCATAACAACACACTTCACAGTAATCTGGTATCTCTCTTTGTTTTAATTGAGATAGAAAATTGATACTTGACTATAGTATTAGAAAGACTTTTTAACATAAACTTAGTCTGCCATTTTATCAGGTCATACTAGGAGTCTGATCCTGTTCACTTGGGTTTAGTCACTGTCTCGTAAGTTAAGTCTTTTTCTCCTGCCAGCTAAGCCTCCAGCCTAACCATCTATCTAGAGGTTTGACTATTTTCAACCACAGAGATCTATAATTTAAGATATGTTGATCTTTCATATTGATATGATGAGGCAGAAATGTTGGCATGGGATAGAATTATTCTTTAAAAAATGACTATTTTTAAAAAGTCTGGTCAAAGAATGGTTTCATATCATATCCTTTTTCTGGAGTTGGGGGAAGGCCTCTTTTGTGTTTAGAACTGCCCACCTAGTAGTCTTACTGAGTGAATAGCCTTTTAAAAATTTGATATTGTGAGGACCTTTGGAAGATGCCCATCACTATGTGAACTATACTGGGAAATCACTTTGTTCCATTTTGACATGTAATTGTCCTTATATATAACTCATGTAACTCTTAGGGCATAAAATGGAGATGAATACAAAGGTGAAATGAAGTTAGGCCAGGGTTTAATAAGAAGTCAGACACACTATACATTGCACAGAGTAACAGTGGGTGCACCTGAGTATTTATGGCTCACCAGCCCTCACAGAAATCTTTTACCTAATCACATGAAGTTTGCTTTTGAAGGCTTTGAAGTTTGCCGTTTACTGAGTTTAGGCAGTGGCCCTGCAAATGAAGGATCTCATGTCCGGACACAAAGCTGACTTCATTTGCTATTCAAAATGATATCTTCTGTAGTCCAAATTACAACTATGTTGAGAAGGTATCTTCCTTTGTGAAATAGATGCTGTAGCGTTACTATTTACAAACTATGTGTATACATGCCTCTTCAAATATGATACTGTGAGGGCTGCTTGATCACAAAAGCATGAAGGGAAATTAAGCTGGATAGTATTTGTTTTTTCTGTGTAGCTCTCTCTGCATATACAAATAGGTTTTTAAATCTAAATGTAAAATGGTCCTAGTACTGTGGTGTTGGATGGTTCTGAATGGAAAAGTAGGATTTAAAATCCACACACATCTTTAAGAGTGCTGTGTTCGTCTGGCAGGGCGAACAAACTATCAAAATATATTAACTGATAATTTAAGTGACACACAACTTGTCTTCAATAGTATTTAAGGAGATAACTGATCTATTGCCTTAATAAATTAATAAATGATCAAAATTACATGAACCTGAATATTTCAGAGAGCACTAGTAGCTCTGTTGTGTTTGGGACATTAAGATTTTAACTGTTGAAGCATGGAGAATTTCATTTTCGGCACAGAAAAATAAACAGCCCTTTTATGATTACGTATTTCTGTGTTTTAATAATAAAGTGTAAAGCTGATTCCTGCCTAACAGACTTTCCCCCCCATTTTTGATGGACTGTGCAGTATCAAATCGGACTCCTGTTCAAACACCGGTTGCAACAGGGATTGGCATCCTGCCATTCTTTCCAAATCAGCATGTAGCTGGCCAAGCAATGCCTCGGCAAAATAACACACAAGACAAGCTACCATCTGCGGTGGGACTGACAGACGGCACTGGCGCAGGGTCACAGCCTTATCTGCAGAACTTAACAAATGTCCCTGCTGGAGGCCTGCGGGCAGGACATCTCACACAAGAGAGCCAGACAAAGAGCACTGACACAAGTTCAGGGGTAAGAAAGCAATGGCATGCTGTTGTGTTTCAGTATTGTAATTCCCTTCATATCTGTTGGGAAATAACTTTTTGCAATGTTTTCATTACAGTTCCATTTTGACTACAAAAGGCACTTTAACATTGATTCTGTTTTCCTTCATGGTCTCTTCAATATGCACAGGCACAGAACCAATATGTGGTGCACAGAGACCACGGAGAAGAACAGAACTTCATTCCTCTAGGAAGCAAAATAATACTTGCACATCCCCTGTGAAGCTGATGTATTAATAGTTTGCAGTCAGTTATCAGAAACAGATTTAGCAATTAATCTTCTTTGAAATACTACTACTGAGGCACAAACAGGCCTTAGGAGGGAAGTGGAAGGTGCCACCCACAATGTCCAGACCAACATGCTAGACTTCAGCTTAAAAAATCCTGACCTGAATTGAAGATGTCTCCATTATATTAACTTTACATGTCAGTTCTAGTTGTCGGGTGAAAAACAGAATTCATATGTATGTATTTATATGTTACAGAGCTCTTCAAAAAAGCAGACCTCACTCTTGGGAGATCCTCCTAAAGAAATCCATCTTAGTACAAATCCCTACTTGAACTTGGCAAGTGTATTGCCTTCTGTATGCCTTTCTGGTAAGCAGCACATTTTCTCCAGAAGGGAATATGGGAGATGGTTACTTTACTTGTAGATAAGACTGTTGACCCCAGTGCTTGATATCAGTTACTGCTGAAATTTTGCATTTTAAAGAAAGACAACAGTAAACAAAAAGTTAGCACTGTTGCTAAAGATTTGTAATGTCTAGTTTAAAATATATTTTATCATATCTGCAGTAGATACTTGACCTGGCTAGATAGCTCTGTTGTTTAGGTATCTGGCTGTAGAGCCAGAAATTAGGAGTTCAATAATTCATTGTGCATCTGAAAAGAGCCAGCTTATGTGACCTGGGGAAAGCTGCACAGCCCCAGGGCACCCCCAGAAGAAGGGAATGGTAAACCATTTCTGTGCATTCTCTACCTAGAGAACTCTAGAGAGGGTGCTGTAAACCATTTCTGTGCATTCTCTACCTAGAAAACTCTAGAGAGGGTGCCGTAAGTCAGAATTGACTTGATGGCACATAATAATAGATATTTGAGTTCATAGGGTTGTTTTTAGAAACTCCTATGAAGTTATATTTCCTCATCTCTCTATCCCTACAGTGGATCCTCATGCATTTACAGGATTCCTTGCATCCTCTTAATGCTCAAGCAGCCTAGTCTTGTCTTCTAACCATGCTGGGTGTCTCATATCGATAGCTTCACCAGTAGTAAGCTAGGTAAATGTTAAGTTAATCGCATATCATTCTGGGGATTCCCAGGGTACAGTGATACAAAGGTCAAACTACAAGGGCTAAGCTTTCTTTGTAAAAGCAGCAGCAGGCCTGTCAGCTCCCCTCATCACAATTTTGGATAAGGGCCACTGGGTCTTTGCAATGCACAACATGACCCTAATCCAGATTGCTCTCCTAGAGTTATTAGCAGCAGAGTCGTTTTTCTTTCCACATTTTAAATAACCAAAAGATCTAGGTTTTTGTAACTCCAGCTTCTTTTGCTGCTTAGCATAACTTAAAAGAAGTTTAGTACTTTGTTTTGCTTTTAAGGGCAGAAATGCATATACAGCGGTACCTCAGTTTATGAACGCCTCGGTTTACATAATTTTTGGTTTACGAACCGAAATCCGTACAAAATAATGCTCCGGTTTACATTTTTCCCTCCCCCCCCCTCACTGTACGAAAGGATTTCCCCAGGATGCATTGCGCCTGGAGGTTTCTAGCTCCACCCCTGAGATTGGATTTGTCTTCAGTGTGGAAGAGATTGCCACTCTCGAATTGGCCTCTTCAGCCACACTAGACGCTGTTCCAAGTCCTCCATACAGAGCACGACACCATAGTCTTTCGAGACTGAAGTATGCCTAACTAACATTTTTCTTTCCACATTTTAAATAACCAAAAGATCTAGGTTTTTGTAACTCCAGCTTCTTTTGCTGCTTAGCATAACTTAAAAGAAGTTTAGTACTTTGTTTTGCTTTTAAGGGCAGAAATGCATATTCAGCGGTACCTCAGTTTATGAACCGAAATCCGTAGAAAATAATGCTCCGGTTTACATTTTTTCCTCCCCCCCCCTCACTGTATGAAAGGGTTTCCCCAGGATGCATTGCGCCTGGAGGTTTCTAGCTCCATCCCTGTTCCTAGTGCAATCTGCGTTTTGGTTTACGAAATTTCTGCATTACGTAACGTCCCGGAGGACGCATTAATTTCATAAACCGAGGTACGGCTGTAGTGAGATAAATGGATTCCCTCAACCTTGTGTTTGTCACTTAATGTGCATGTGGGGATTGGATATAAATAATCTTACATAAATAAAAGACAGTAGTTAAAGCCAAAAACAATAACTATACAATGACTAAAAAGGATTAAACCAATACCACGTTAAAAATGGTAAACAAAAGCAATACCTAAATCACATTCAAAGCAGCAACGCACAACAATTTAGGATTGCATAGCCTCTTTATAGCCTGTTTTCAGAAACTTTGTATGTTCCTTCACTTGAGGTCTTTAGGCTTAGGTTCTGAAACTTTTTTACATTAAGGGATAGGCTTGACTATCTAGCAGCAAAAACTCCTCATAGTATTGGAAGCATTTCTGAGAACTCAGTTAAAAATGGAATCCTGGCTTTAGCTAAACTGATGTTGATTCTAATGTTACATGTCTCCATGCCTCTTTCTAGACAAGCTTTTGAGTTAGTTATCTGGGTGATGTACACTCTTTATTGCATCATTCTGGTTTCACATCACTCTCTCTCTCTCTTTTTTTTACATGACATGTTACAATGGATTTTCCCCCTTTGACCAGCAGTTGCCAGTAGAGCTGGTAAGCAGCAGTCAGGAATTTTGTATAACTCATGTGACACGGCATCTGCTCAGGGAGCTTCTCCGCAACAAACAGTGGAAAACTATTTTACCTATTCACCATCATATGGGGATTATACACAGGTATGTGGCTCAGATATGGCTGAACTGGAGCTGGTGGCTATGTGCTGTCTTTTTGTTTATTTAAACATGTTGCAGAGTTCTAGTCAGATGATAATTTAGGAGGATCAGTAACTATTCTGAAATCCTGTTGCTCAGCACAGTATGTTGCCATTAGAGTAGGCCCATTTGAATCAGTGGAGAAGTTGACTCCTCAAAATCCCCATGATTTATTGGCCTATTCTAGTATGATTTACTAAACTAAGCAACAGGATTTCAACCAGTGAGTTATAGTTTTAGCTGTTGATTTTTTTGTTTTACAGTGTGACTGTTTGGAATATAGGTATAGTAGAAAATCCCTTGATAGTAGAAATTCCCTGGCTATGTGGGGAACTAAACAAGCTCTGTGAGTACAGTATTCAAAAGTGAAATGAAGCTGAAGAAATTGTTCATCTTTAAGCTTAGGATGGGATCAGGAAAAATCAATAATAATAATAATAAAAGACTGTCAATGCAGTATGTCTCATGCACATCCTTCATCTACCTGTGTTTTGTTCCTAGTTATGCCTTGGTCATATAAACACTGCCTTATGAAGTGTCTTGTTTGTGTAATGTAAATAATTGCAGAAAGCTGTTGACTGCAGCACTTTTGTAAGTCCTACAGAAGAAGAAGAAGCAAACTCTACAATTGGTTTGCTTTTCTATAAAATTAATCCTGCTGTGAACACTTTTCTGTTCATTTTGTGAGCATATCGTAGCATCCAATATAGGGAGGGATCTTGGATTGTTTAGCATGATGTTCAAACTTAACAAAAATTGGCATGTAGGCTTGTTTCTTACCCAGCAAGCCAGAATAACACGCAAACAAGCTATGGATTCATTCTCTGGCTTGCTGGCAAATTAATCCTGCTGTGAACACTTTTCTGTGCATTTTGTGAGCATATCGTAGCATCTAATATAGGGAGGGATCTTGGTTTGTTTAGCATGATGTTCAAGCTTAACAAAAATTGGCATGTAGGTTTGTTTCTTACCCAACAAGCCAGAATAACACGCAAACAATGGATTCATTCTCTGGCTTGCTGGGAAAGAAACAAATCAGAACTCAAGTTTCTATTGGCCTCAGTTGCCACAGTGAGCAAACTGTAAACAAGATATTTTCTAGCTGAGCTGCTTCATCTGCAAGCAAGAGCAGTCAGCCATCATGCACCAGCACTCTGGCTTTTACCCTACAAGTCAGAATTCTTGAAAATCCCAGCTGCTTGCAATGTCTGGAAATACCCACTGGGCAAAATTCTGTTCATGCTAACATAATCTAAAGTTACACCCATGTATATCTGGCAGCCATTGTGACAGGAAACAAGCGCACCATCAGTTACACGTCTCCATTGCAACCAGGTGTGCAGTGCAGTGGTTGGAGTGGTTCATAGACAGCACTTTCAGCTTGGTGTGATCACAGCTACTGCAAGCACAAGGTCGCGTTGCACCCACATAGTTACAAAACATGATTTTGCTGCTTGTTTTGTACTGCTAAAAGTAAAGTTCAAGCAATAGTGAATCAAATATAACAATTAAAGGAAAAGTTTTTACAAAACGTGCCCCCCAAATAACCCTACAAATACAACATTAACAAGCCTGAATGAATACTTCTGTAGTCAGAACTTAAAGTTGCTGCACAATTTTGGTATAGTTTTCCAGATCACGCACTCTGAAACTGGTGGCCAAGAGAAAGTAATTTAAAGGGGCCTTTTTGTGGCACCATGAGCGTGGGTGGTTTTAATTTTGCCTTTGCCAGCTTTTCTGTGCCTGTGCAAGTCACTCCATTGAGCACCAATAACCTGGGAGCAGAATTTTAATCCAAGTTATGAAAACTTCACCATTGGGCAGCCTAGAAGCCATCTCACTCCTCACAGGCAACTATTGAACAAGTCTGCTTAAGCATTCTACTGCTGGTGTCTTCCCATCACACATTGTAAAAGGGGCCACCTGATCTGTTCACTGAATGAAGCGTAAGGAGCATGGGCCAGCATTGTTCACAGCTATCACCACACATGCCTTTTATATTTCCTAAGCTTAAGTATGCCTCACAAAGAGATCATGTGTTTGTCTCATGTGCAAGAGTGTGGGCTACTTGCCATGTATGGCTTATTCTGTCAAGTATTAAGCTGGTGTTCTTGTGACTTTCCAGCAGAAAATAGTTTGGTATTCTGAGAAATGTGGAAGCAGTGGATGAGGCTAGTCTGCAGAGTCCTATGTTGTCCTTTTATATTTATCTGTTGCATGGCAAGGGTGGTGTGGCCCCCACCTTGCTAAATTTGTGCATTGGTCCATGATTCCTGGGCTTGTGTCCAAAGTATGTTACAGGCTTGATATCCAAAGGATTTGCTTAATAAATTGGGGTAGGGAGGTGATTCCTAAACTTGGGATCCCAAGATGCTTTTGGACAACATGTCTTGGAATCCTAGTCAGTATGGCCAGTGCTAAGAGCTGTGAGTTATCACCCAGTAACAGCTTCAAATTAAAGTTGAGGAACTATTCATTTAGACCCACTGTTATCTGCAAAGTGAAGCCTTGTATGCTAAATTTTGTTTTATTTCACCAAAAGCAGATTTCTAGGATGAGTGTGTTAGCCAGATTCTTCTTGTTATCAGGAGTGTTCATGTCATAGTTTAGCAATCGGAAATGTTTTTCAGGATGTTCTTACTTCTAGTCAAGAAGATATTGGGAGTTGGTCAATTAATGTTAATCTTGCAGGGAATAAATTATCACACTTTCATAGCATTACTGATTTGTACACTTTATTTATTAATTAAGTATTACTACTTTATTTGCTCCAATGAAAGAAACAAAATAAGCAAGAACTTGGTCTAAGGCAGATGAGGAAGGAATAATATTGTCTTACTAAAGCAGATGTGTAGTCTTCTTTTGCAAACCTTATGCTGGTTTTGTGTACTATGATTATAATTATGGAAAATGGTAGATCAGGTGAAAACTGTTTTGTCTTTGGCAGGATTCTCTCCAGCAGTGGTACCAACAGTATGCTCAGGCATACCATACCATTCAAAACAGAGTAGGAGAATTAGAAAACGATAGCTCAGAGGTAAGTTAAAGTTATTGTGGCGTTTGCCCTTGTGGCCCCTGCTTGTTTTTCCCTCACATCGCGTTTTCTTCTCGCTGCCACCAGTGGATTACCTCAATCCACAATATAAGTGATGTTTGTCCGAACACTTGACTTGTGAACAGAAACAGAACTTATTTATTGAAGTGAAGCAGATTGAATAATAACAGACGTTTCTCAGATACACATTATACATAAGCAAATTATCAACAGTCCTCTAAGTACATACTTCTTTTCTCTTGCTATATCATTACACCTTCTTTACCTATTTTCCTAATCAGCACTATCTCTCTGACTAACCAGCCCTATCTGACTCCTCCTCCTTCCGCCAAGCCTCATGTAGTTGCTGACTCTGCCTCTCCAGTCCTCTCATAGGTTCATGCATACCAGCTCATGAATATGGATGGCATGAATGACATCGGTGACCGCCACATTTATTTTTTGCTTTTCCCCCCCTTGATGGTATTTGAGCCAAGAATCCTGATTTTTCAGGGTTTTTGCTTAAGGAAAGAGGCTACACATAGCAGGAACTTCTTCTCTGAAGACATGTTGCATGCAAGCAACAACAGGAAGGGAAGGGTACAGTGTTCCCCTGCTTCCTTCTTGAAGAGGACTATGTAATTTATTCCTTAATGAGGCAGGAAATCTGTAAAGTAAGTCTAATGGATAGAATGTCAGACTAACCTTGGGAACATGGGCCAGTCACAGTGGGCTGAATCCAGTTGTTAGTGCCAATTACAGTAGACTCAGAATCAGTGGGAGTTACACAAGTACAGACGGATTTTTATTGGTGCAATGTGCTGTCAAGTGACAATACTTAATGTATTCGCGAAGGCTTTCACGGCCGGGATCTAATGGTTGTTGTGGGTTTTTTGGGCTTCTTGGCCATGTTCTGAAGGTGGTTTCCCCTAACATTTCACCAGTCTCTGTGGCCGGCATCTTCAGAGGACAGCAAACTGTGCTCTGGTGTAGTTTGGCTAGGGTGTGGAGTATTTATGGCTGTGAGATGGGATGATTAGTGTGTATTGTTGTGGGTGTATTGGTTTCTGTGGATGGGTGATTAGTGTGTTTTGTTGTGGGTGTATTGTTGTGATAAGGAGATTATCTGCCACTGTGGTTGATGGTAGTGATCCCCTTGACCTTGTGGTTGGGTAGAGTTCGTGACCTTTTGCATGCTGTATTTTTGAGAGCTGGGAGCCAAGTTTTGTTGAGTTTCAAACTTTCCTCTTTTTTGTTGAAGTACTTAAGATTGTCAGCTCTTGTAAATGCAAGGCCATGGCTTCCTTTATTGAGTCAATCCATGTTATTTGGTCTCTCTTTCCTATGCCATCAGCTTTCCCCAACATTGTTTTTTCCATTGAATTTTGTCTTATGATAAGGCTAAAGTATTTTTCATTTATGTTTACAGAGGGAGTTGGGGTTCAGTTTTATATGTGTCTGTGTCTGTGTCTGTGTGTGAGTTTGTTATGGACTATCAAGAAAGAACTAACTTATGACAACCCTAATAGGGCTTTCCTGGTAAATAAGATATTTAAGGAGTGGTTTTACCAGTTGTGTCCCTTTCCCCAGTGAGTTCCTGTGATTGACCAGGGATTCAAATGCAAGTTTCCCGAGTCCTAGTCTGTTCACCAAACCACACTGGATATGGATTTGATTCAACATCTACTTCTTTGTTTTTCTAGCAGTCCATGGTATCTATAAAACTCTCCTCCAATTCCATACTTTGAATTAATTCATTTCTTGTTATCTTTCTTCACTACCCAGCTTTTACATCTATACATAGCAATGAGGACAATCAAGTGGGGAGATGATATGTTCGGACTCCAGTAATACTTCCTTACACTTCAGGATTTTTTTTTCTAGTTCTTTCATAGTTGCGCTTGTATATGGAATTCCATAGGTCTACTCTACTTAGTTTGGATTAAGTTAGATTTAGTCCTGTAACTACATATCTCACCTGTCCTGACTGCCTTGGAGCAGGGGTGGAGGGCCTACAGAGTTCTGGTGGTGGTATCTTCTGTGGTGCTCTCAGAATGAATTTTTTTGTAAAATATTTCTACTGAAAAAGTCACCAGAGCTTCTGTAAGGGGCAATTTCACCGTTTTCACCATTGCTCCTGAGCTACTCTAAATGACTTTCAGTTTTGAAACTACAACTCTGAAAACAGCTGAAGGGGATCAAACACATGGATAAATTGCTCCTCCATATATATAAAGGCAGGATAAATCAAATATAAAATAATAATCTTACAACTGCAGATCTGGAAGATAACTGATTTTACTCTGCGACACCTGAGTGGAAACTAAGTTACGGGAAGAGCTGATTGTACAAGTTGCAAAACCTCTGTATCAGCTTAAGTTCTTCTTGGCTGATCTGGACATAAGCAGTCAGTCTTTCACTATCTTCAGGCATTGGAAAAAGGCATGTAATTTAGAAGTGTTTTTAAAAAAGATTATTGCAGGTCTTAGTGTCAGAAAAATGAAGTGAAAATGTTGTTTTTACCTGTTTAATTGGTGTTTGGAGCATAATATCTTCAAATTGATGTTGGCAAAAGACAAGGTCCTTGTGTAAAACAGTGTTGCGCTTATACAGTATTCTCCTACTGGTCCAACTCCTATTTAAAATATCCAAGGAGATTGTTGGAGAACCTTGCAACTAAGGATCTTGACTATGTTCAGTTATGTAAAGAACGATCTTCTTTTCGCCAGTAAATATTATGACCACTCATTTGTCTCAATGTTTTTACTTCCTTTCATTGCCCACCACCCTGCTAACATACAACTTGCACAATTTCTCTCCCCCCTCCCATATAGGAATCCGAGGGAGGTGTTTATGGCGACTACAATACCTATTTACAAGTTATGCCTTCATATTACACTGCTGCCCAAGGATCTTTCCATCCTGGCATCTTGCCACTTACACCTCAAAACTCTCTGAAGGTAGGAAAAAAAAAAACAAGTAAACAAGGGTGCTTGTTGTAATTTAAAATTGAAGTACTCATCTGAAGAGAGCCAGCTTTTCAGTGTTAGACCTTGCAATATCTTGCCTATTAACAAGGAATGTTGATGGCTGTCATTTTTTAGGCCCCTTCGCTGCTACCAGTCATGACAAAATCTTCTGGAGCAGAGTGGGTTGAAGTGTAATAAATCTTCTGAATTCCCTTTGCATTTATCAGAAACATACACGAGCCCGTATTTTAATAGGTTGGGTGAACTCCCTACACCAACTGGGAGCTACAAGCTGCCAGTCTGACAGTTACCATCGAGTGTGCAAAAGATACATAATGCTCTTTAAGAATTTGTCAGAGTTGGTATGCTAGTTGTTCATCTTCATTCGTTTGCTAATAGAAAAATTTAAGGGTAGCAGTGGCCTATATTCCATTATGAGCATCTCACAAGAGGGGGATCAGAACTGGGGCAGTCACAACTTTGGTTGGCTCCCCCTCCTCTTGTAGCCTCCCAAGTCCCCTCAAAACATACTCTTGCAGACTGAGAAATTAGGGGTTGCAGTGTTGGGAGGGGTTAGCAAGAGCTGACAAAAATTAATCAGTCTGTTTTCACCTCTTTTATTATTCATGGGAGCATCCCAAGTAAGAGCGTGCCTGAGAAGGCCCCTGGTGACAGAGAACTTTGGATCTGACTCCCCCCGCGTTGTTTTGTTTTTATCACTTCAAGGTGTAAGGCATGCTTATAAAAAGCAACGCTCACTGTTGTTTAAGAATAGACATTGGCATAAAATGAACCACGAACCAAAAAACCCCCACAAACCTTGCTGGTTTGCGGTCTGTTTCACGGGCGGTTTGGGGAATTGTGCTTTCACGAAGCAAAATGAAATGCTGAACCTTTTCACTGGCATTCTGCTTTGTGTCCCACCTCCCTAGAAAGCCCCCCTTGATGGGCCCAAGCATCTACTGTACCTTACTTGCTTCAGGCTTCCTCCTCCCCTCTGCTGCTACTGTCCAGCTATGTAGGACAGTAGACTTTCTGGGGCCTCCTTCCTCCCCCACTATTTTCAAGGAGGATTAGGGTATTGTGTGGTGTAGTTTTGCTGCCCATCAGGTTATATATAGGGAACCCTCATAGAACTACATGGCAGCAGTGGAGGGAAGTAAGGTGCTGAGGTCCCATGAAGGGGGAGGGCTTTCTGTGTAGCTCAGCTACCCCCTTCATTGAGAGACTGACTCCAACCAAGCAAACCACAAACTGGTTTGCTTTTTAAAAAAAAATTCTGTATGGTTTGTGAATACCGATGAATCATGAACCATTACAAACTGCCATTGCGTCAGTTTGTGCCCATCTCTAGTTGAGAATTATGCACTGTTATAATAGATTTTTATAATCCACAGGTGGCACCAATCAGAAATGAAAAGCGGGGTTCTTCATACCTCATCACCACACCGGAAGACAGCCCACTGGAATATGTTGGCCAACACACTCAGGCTTCAGGAATGCATTATGCAGAATTGTATCTTAAAAGAAAACGTGTTTACTAAGATCAATATCTTGCTTGATATCAACATCGCTGCACACCATTCTTGTTACCTGTATCTTTGAAGTTTAATGGATATCGTAGAAGTATTTTAAAAATTCTATATAGGAAAGCAGTTTCTCTAAGTAAACTTGGGTCACAAAGGTGTGTCCAGGAAGCTATTAATGTAATGTAATGTAATGTAATGTAATGAGTATGACACTCCAGACTTGTGTCCATGTGATGGAGAATAAGATTTTTTTAAAGAACTGGCAGCTTGCTGGCTTCAGAATTTCTTTTAAAGCAATAAAATAATGGGGAAAGAAGATTTTGTTGTTATTTTGTTGGAAAGGTTGCAGTGATAGTTAACAGTTCTTCATAAAAACCTCTTAAGAGGATTTAGATTCTTGGCTGCAGAGTATTCAGGTTTAAGCCTTTCTTTTAATGTCTGACAATAAAATACCCCACTATTGATCTTACTGGGGCTTGCATGATGGATTACTGCCCAAATAGTTTGTTAGGTTGAGTACATTACAATTCAGTCTAGCTGAATTTAGCCAAAGCTTCTTGGATTAAAAATGAAGTAGAAATTTTAGCTTTTAGTAAGTCACTGCTGTTGAAGTGGGAAGATGTTAGGAAAACACCAGTAAATGTCTCTTTTTAAAATAATTAATCACTGAGGTACAGTGCTAGTAATACATACATGCAAGGAAGCATTTCTATGGAAATGAAAGACTGATACTTAAACTGGTATTTATAAGGCTGGGCCACTAGGTCTCTTTTTTCTAGGTCTCTTTTTTCTAAATCACGAAGAAATATTTATACACATTTTCAAAAAAGGTATGGATTTCCATTTACTATCCAGCCTAATGAAATGCCAAGAATTGAATTTACTTCTCCAGGTTATGTTTGCTCACATCCCACTTCTGTTCTTGTCATTTGTCACTGCCATCTTGGGACTTTTTAGTGTGTTTTATTGCACTTCATAGTCATGTCAATTCTTATATTTGTTCATCAGAATTGAAGTGACATTTTGTATATTTGTGATGCAGTACTCTTGCTATATGCTGACTTTTAACTTATTTCTGACTAGAACTGGTTATTTGCAGCAGGCTGCTTTTCTGCAATCCTGCATCAGTTTAATTAAATAGATAGTACATTAGGCTTTTTTTCCCCATTGCCTTCAACCACAGCAGGCCCAGCTTAATGTTCCTGAATTTATAATTTAAAGGTATAAGCTCCTGTAACACTGATGACAGAATGCTTAGTAAGTATGTCAAGAAAAAGACAGTGATAGAGAAACACACATGTACGGCTAATTGTACTGTGTCATTATTTCAATAGGGCTTCACTGGCATCAGTTTTCTGTATTAGCAGGCTGCTCTTGTAGAACTGAACCTACCTGATTCACAAGTACTGGCTGCCTTTGAGATTGAAAATCACATTCTTTGTGTTTGCATAGTAATTAAGTCTTATTCATTCTGAATTCTGTGTGCACAATCAGTCTCTTGGTAAATAAACTGGCAAGCTTCTCTGTTACTATACTTATCTTGTGCTCCTGAACTTGCTTTGCTACTGTAGAAAGGGAACAAGTTATGTTGCTGAGAAGAAATGAGGGTAAGCCGTGAATCGTAGTGACAGCCTATTCAAATGTATCTGAATTGTTAACTTGAGTATCTCCTGACATTAAAAAAATTAGTCTTATACTTTAACATTCCTACTTGTGCTGCAAGTTGTAGATATCTCCAGTTGAGACAAAAACCAAAATGCATAGTGATTTTAACTGCAGCAGTTATGGAGATATTTAACAGGGATGTGGTATTGCTTTAAGTGTGAGTGCAGAAATATCAGAATGACATGGAATAGTAACTGTAAGGAGCTAGATGACAGACTTGGTAGAAATACATGAGTCTCTAACCCTTTCTGGACAACAAGAAGATGCTGTAATTTATATTGATCTTGTAGGATGCAATCAGTTGTCATAATCCTCCTGTGTTTTCTTACATACACAAAAATTGGGAAGTTACGTCAGCTAATTGTTGCTAATTAATGAAGTGCCCAGTGACATCTAGGTGTACTACTAGTACCTTGTTAATTAGCTGCCATAATGTCTGTGGTTGGATTACTTGTGTGTTAAAAAAACCCAGCATTCTTAGCTCAGCAGTCTCAGAGCTATTAATTACCCTTGTCCTAGCACTCTGAAGCTTGGGTTAAATTGCACCTACAGCCAGACTGCAGGTGGACATGATAAAAGACAAAAGATGGACATGATAAAGGACAAAAATGGGAGGGACCTAACAGAAGCAGAAGACATCAAGAAGAGGTGGCAAGAATACACACAGGAATTATATCAGAAAGATTTGGATATCCCGGACAACCCAGACAATGTAGTTGCTGACCTTGAGCCAGACATCCTGGAGAGTGAAGTCAAGTGCGCCTTAGAAAGCCTGGCTAACAACAAGGCCAGTGGAGGTGATGGCATTCCAGTTGAACTATTTAAAATCTTAAAAGATGATGCTGTTAAGGTGCTACATTCAATATGCCAGCAAGTTTGGAAAACTCAACAGTGGCCAGAGGATTGGAAAAGATCAGTCTATATCCCAATCCCAAAGAAAGGCAGTGCCAAAGAATGCTCCAACTACCATACAAATGCACTCATTTCACACGCTAGCAAGGTTATGCTCAAAATCCTCCAAGGTAGGCTTCAGCAGTATGAGGACCGAGAACTCCCAGAAGTACAAGCTGGATTCCGAAGGGGCAGAGGAACTAGAGACCAAATTGCTAACATGCGCTGGATTATGATGAAAGCCAGAGAGTTCCAGAAAAAATCTACTTCTGCTTCATTGACTATGCAAAAGCCTTTGAATGTGTGGACCACAGCAAACTATGGCAAGTTCTTAAAGAAATGGGAGTGCCTGACCACTTTATCTGTCTCCTGAGAAACCTATATGTGGGACAGGAAGCAACAGTTAGAACTGGTCATGGAACAACGGAGTGGTTCAAAATTGGGAAAGGAGTACGGCAAGGCTGTATATTCCCCCCCAGCTTGTTTAACTTATATGCAGAATACATCATGCGGAAGGCTGGACTGGAAGAAACCCAAGCCGGAATTAAGATTGCCGGAAGAAATATCAACAACCTCCGATATGCAGATGACACCACTCTGATGGCAGAAAGTGAGGAGGAATTAAAGAACCTTGTAATGAGGGTGAAAGAGGAGAGTGCACAAAATGTCCTGAAACTCAACATCAAAAAAACTAAGATCATGGCTACTGGTCCCATCACCTCCTGGGAAACAGTGACAGATTTTACTTTCTTGGGCTCCATGATCACTGCAGATGGAGACAGCAGCCACGAAATTAAAAGACGCCTGCTTCTTGGAAGGAAAGCGATGAAAAACCTCGACAGCATCTTAAAAAGCAGAGACATCACCTTGCCAACAAAAGTCCGAATAGTCAAAGCTATGGTTTTTCCTGTCGTGATGTATGGAAGTGAGAGCTGGACCATAAAGAAAGCAGACTGCCGAAGAATTGATGCCTTTGAATTGTGGTGCTGGAGGAGGCTCTTGAGAGTCCCCTGGACTGCAAGGAGAACAAACCTATCAATTCTAAAGGAAATCAACCCTGAGTGCTCACTGGAAGGACAGATCCTGAAGCTGAGGTCCAGTACTTTGGCCATCTCATGAGAAGAGAAGACTCCTTGGAAAAGACCTTGATGTTAGGAAAGTGCGATCGCAAGAGGAGAAGGGGACGACAGAGGATGAGATGGCTGGACAGTATCTGCGAAGCAACCAACATGAATTTGACACAACTCCGGGAGGCAGTGGGAGATAGGAGGGCCTGGCGTGCTCTGGTCCATGGGGTCACAAAGAGTCGGACACGACTGAACGAGTAAACAACAACAACGACGCAGCCAGACTAGGGCCAATTTGTGAGAGTGAGCTCTGGCATGCCAAAACCACATTAAAACATAGCACATGCTCTAGGTTGTAACTTCCCCTCTTCGTCTAGAGAGCCAAACAGAGAAACTAGACTAGTATTACGGCTCTGAGTTGCTTCCTCCTTACGTACATCACCTCCCATCATGGAGCTCCTTTACTGTTACAGCCAGGAAACAGCAGAAGTCATGGAATGGAAGGAACCACAGGGTGATTTTTTAGGAAGAACTGCACTGAACCTTTGATAAAACACAGGATGTGTAGATGGGACAATGAAGAGAGCCAAGCAGAAGATCTAGATGAAGGCTTTTAAATTCCATTTGAAAATAAAAGAGGTAACAATGCAGCACACAGAGCACTGTTTTATATTTTTTGTTTGATAGTATAATTATCAATTACATTATCATTATGTAATGGATTAAACATCACATGTAGGGCTATTATGTATTACATACCTCAAAACCAAAATAAATACAATGATGTGCGAATATAGATGTGATAATGGAAGAGGGTACAATAAATACAATGATGTGCGAATATAGATGTGATAATGGAAGAGGGTACAGCACAGACAGATTAATTGCTTTATTTTTATTTTTTTAATAAAGAATAACAAAAGTGCATTTACAGGAAAAACAGGCAATTTTGAAAGTGGTTCTAAACCAATTTCATTCTGGCTGGATACTGCATTCCATTTCACATTATTGCAAACTCTCAACAAATGAAATACCATGATTCTAGGTAAGAGAAGCTTCTAATTAAAGAACTGTTATGATGAAGACTGCCTGTCTCTCATTCTTTCACCTAAAGAGCAATGAATTTTCAGAAGGAAAAGGTCCAGTTTAGGCACTTATGCATCATGCCCCTAATCAGAATTTTATATATAAAATTCTTTCCCCCCCAATACAATAGCAGGGTAGGTTGGATGCAACTTAGTAATGCTCAGAATTGTTGAAATAAATGGGGAAAGTGACTAACTAAAATCCTATTAATTTCAGTCAATGACCTCTAAGCATAACTAAGCTATATTCAATCCAACATGTTGCTCCTTCACTTGTTTCTGCTTCAAGCTATGATGATAAGTCTGCTTTATGACAGGTAAGCATTGGAAGAATAATGCATCTCTCTCCATCTGTCCTATTTTATCTCCTGGATACACAATGTGCTGGAATGCAGAATGAAATCTATATACAAAAACCTCCATCAAAACACAGCTGCTTCTTACTAGAGTAATGTCTATGGCGTCAAAGGACAATTGAACAGTCTTGTTGCCCCAATCAGCTACATGGCGATAGCTCAAAATGCTGTTATACACTAAAGTTATATCCTACTCTTTCACATTTATTCTTCAGTGTTCTTTCCTTAAGAATGATCTTTCCCCTACCCCCACTATAATACCCATATGAAGTATTTTTATCATCACCATCACTTGCTGCAATAATAAAGCAAAAATAATGGCCTAGTTCTAGGCCATGATGCAGACTGATTCCAGACTGAGCCCACTCAATGATGAGCATGTCAAAGTCAGAGTTCTTGGGCTGCATGCCAAGCATCAAGCTTACTTGGCAACTCCTCCAATAATAAAAGGTTTCTTTTCAAAGGGAGAGGTAAACAAATTAAAACATTAAAAAAATTCCTAGGTCAGTGGTTCCCAACCTTGTGTCTCAGGTGTTCTTGGACTACAACTCCCAGAAATCTTGGCTGTCGCAGCTAGTGGTGAAGGCTGCTGGCAATTTTAGTCCAAGAAGACCTGGGGACCCAGTTTGGGAACCACTATCCTAGAGGACCTAACTTCCAGCCTGTTGTTTTGCACTGTTCCTATAAACTTCCTATCTGGTGTGCCAATAAGTTCCATATGTTTAAAAAAAACAAACTAGAGACAGTTTATAAATGCAACGAACATACCATGAGAAAGAAAGGCTGAGATCAAAAATAGTAAGCATGCCTAATGGTGATCTGGATTTTTTAAGACACTTTTTCTTCTTGAACAGGCATCTATGACATAACACAAAGTGCTTTTCAAAGTTATTGCAAATTCAAGTTGCTTGCTGTTGGGCACAGGATAGCTGATGTTTAAAGAATACAGATCTAAAGCCCTTTTAAGTTTATGCAAGTTGCTGCACAGTTCTTTAGAACCCAGTCAAAAAGTATTCTTCCATAACATTCCCTATCATGGAATATCATGATAATTTTTGCTAGGTAATTTTAAGTAGATATTTTGCAACAGATGAACTAATGGTCTTAAGTCACTGAGCCATGATACAGATTGTTTTCATTTTTTAATTCAACATGATTTAAATAGTTTACAAGCAAATTATTAACAACCTTTGTTTTAAGGCTATGGTTCTCAAAATGATTTAGGTTGAGTCAACAAGCATAATATTGATCTCAATAACGAGTCAGGTTCAAAATTATGGAACCATGCCAATTTTAAGAATAGCATAGCTCTTAATTAGGAAAGTGCTCAACAATGTTTTCTGCTGCTTGGATCCTACTCAAAACAGGAAAACAGAGAAAAGAAGCCGCTTTAAACATTGCATTACCAAAATACAAAATTATAACAGGTAATAACAAAAATTCTTATATATACTTTAAAAGTAACAGTATAAAATGCCAAATTACATCTTCTTCATAAGTGCTTCAAATCCTTGAATCAGATTTTTAAACGTTGTCCTATCCCCTGGCTCATGTACCCAGCACTTCCTCATCAGCTGGTTAACCTGGTGAACAAAATAAAGACTAGTGTTGGCCAAATATAAATTCAGATCCAGACATGATCATTCATGAACACATGGGACCATCCTGCTTGTGAGAGTGACTCATATCTTTAATCAGTGATAAATGGAGTGGCATTTAGTGGCCCAAACCCGACTGAAGAAAACCATGGGCATAAGGCAATCACGCAAGCAGTCTGTCCTCTTTTTGGCATTCTTTTTTTAGGTGGATGCATGATTGGGTGCACCACCGCTTTCCCCACCACCAGAGGCAAAGGAGCACAATGGATAGCCAACTGCAAAGGTTGGGGCGCTTGCATGATTTCTCAGATAAACTGCATGAACTGTACACGATTCTGGGCAATGGAGGTTCATGCACTAACATTCACCAACAAAGTAGCCTCAGAGAAAGAAAATTCCTTTATATGTGCAAATTACAAGATCCAATATCTTGATGGCAGTTCCAAAAGCTCTCTGTGATAATACACATGGTATTATCTGGCAGCATTCGTTCAAATCTTCAGAAGACCAGTGTGTATTGTCTACATCTCATTTAATAATACAGAGCCAAAAAGGAACTACTATTACCATAAGCTTCTGTTTCATAATACTAAAAGCCATCACTGGCTACAATGTCAGAAACACATAGTTTAACACATTTGTTTAAGATTATAAAACAGAAGACTTTGGAAATTTTATTTCAGTCTGTTTCGCAGGAAGCCCACATATTTTGAACTGCACTGAACAAAAATGCTAAGGGCAGCTAATTTAAGAAATGCATAATAGAAATAAATCAGAAGAACTAAAGAAACTAGCTCACTCCCACATAGTAAAGTTTAAGAAGTATTTGGAATGTCAGATATATTCTGATATTATTCACCAAAATATCAGATGAGATTCAGCACATCCAAACCTTGTGGAGGGGCGAGAGGAATTACACTAATCTTCCAAATCTTACCCATTTGTTCACTTAAGACCTGGACAAAAATCACATCTCAGTCAAAGCTGTGCAGATGTTCCTAAAGGCTGTTTTTTAAAGGATTCAATACAGCCCCAAGAGCACGGGGAACAAGGGCTTTTGACTCCCTCTCTGACCAACATGAGAGGAAGGGGAATTTCCCAACCAAAATGAATTGACATTTAGGCCTTTCCCCTTGTGACAGTTAGATCATGGAGTCTCCAGACGCGACTTCTTCATGTGATGGTTTCCAATCAGTATATAAAAAGGAAGTCTACCCATTTCTCTCATTCTGGCCAGGATTTCCCTTCGCTTCAACAGCTTTCCTTTTCAATCCCCAAACTATTTCACAAGGCACAGCTGAGGTGTCAAGACACCATATGAGTCAGTCTTTGAGGGATTCTGCACAAAGTGTGATTAACCTGCAGGGCTCAGATGAGGTTTTCAGGGTGAAACGAAAATTAATTCAAAAATAGGCTTAAAAACAAAAAGCCAACAGACAAAGATGAAAGAAATCTAAAAGTACCCAAACAATGCTGTTTGGGAGAGAATGCTCTGAAAAAGGAACTCTGAAAACTGATAAACACCAATCCAATAGGAATTCATCCATCACAAGACAATTCATAAAAATTAGATCAATGTCTAAACTCTTACCTCTTCTGGGCAATTTTTGGGACATGGCAAGCGTCTGCCTTCTGCTAGTACACGTACAAGCCGTGTGACTGTCATCTGGCCTTGAGTTGGGCCAATCATGTTCAAGAATTCCTGTAAGTTAAGAAAACACATACTTAATATTCTACCAAGTAGCGGAACTGGGTATCAATCCAGCTATCAGGATGGGTCAAGCAACTTGGTACCCAGGGAATAGGGTGCAAGCTTCATTTTTTTAAAAAAGGGAGGGGAGCAGTGCTGTCACAATAACCATAGCAACTGAGGGGTGTTCTGAAGTCAAGAGAAAGAACCTAGGAGGTACTATCCAATGAATAAAACAAATCAAAACAAGGATTCACTCAATGTTGATATAAGGGGTGGGTGGGAGTGGAACCCCAACCAGCATCACAAAAGCTGGTGAGAACTATCAGCGTGCCCAAGCTACAGTTTACTGAACAATAGCTCCTATCATTACTCAGAGCTTGTCTTTATATGACAGAATATTTACAAATAATAAGATATAACCCTAAGGCCAATATTAAACCCTAAGTACATCCCGTTAAAACTAGTGTGGGGTAAGGTCAGTGTCTGCAACCAGATGCTCACCATCTACAATTTCTTCTAGTGTGATAAGCATCCCCATTCAAATTCTTCTGCAGTGTTAGAGCTAAGCACAATGAAACTGAAACAATTTTTGAGCCATCAGGATGTGTTCCTTACCCTCCCCCAACACCACAGTTTCTGAGAACAATTTTACACTGATTTGTGAAAACTCATAGATATCCAACTGTGAAATCCAAAAATCCCAAAGTATCTGTATTAATCAGGCACCCATATCCTCAAGCAGACTGAAGCAATGACAAAGAGAAATCCTTATTTTCTTAATAGCATGCTCAAAGCCAAGAAAAAACCACCACATTTCGAAACTGGGGGGAAAAACTAAATTTTACTTGTTTATTTACAAGCACAGTTTTGTTATGGTATTAAAAAATCAAGAGTACCACCATTAGAAATAACATTTGAAATTTCTAAGACATCTGAATGGATTAGATGGCGGAATAATTTGTCTTCATGTTACAGAACAGATTTTAAATATTTATTGATAATGGCTAAATATCTCACCAGATTAAAAATTCCAATGCATTGTTCCTTTCTTTTTATCAAAACTTTTAAGTCTCAGATTGTGGAAAAAAAGTTTTCTCATGACTGCTATAACTACATACAACATGACTGTCCTGAAAACTGCCACTTTTTAAGATAAATATTTAAGATAAACTTCCAGTGGAAAACTTCAAAAATATATTGACACAATTTGATTATTCCTGTTTCAGAAAAGATCTTATATTTTATAAATATAGGGAATGTTACACTGGAAGTATTTTATTTTATTTTATTTTATTTTATTTTATTTTATTACTATTTATTTATTTATTTTTATTCATTCATTCATTCATTCATTCATTCATTATTGAAAATATTTTTAGCCCGCCTTTCTTCTTAAAGCAGGTGCAAGTCACCTTACATCATTAAAAGACAATATTTACACCTAAATACAGTAATTACACAAATATTTAAAGGGATCAAAGAAATCCCACATTTAAAAATGGTAAACAAAAACATTCAAAGCACTAATCCAAAACAATAAAAAAACACTACTCAGTCTGCCAGTCGCTAAGATAAATCCTGCCTGAAGAGAAATGTCTTCATAACATGTTCTCAACTGTTACTTACTGCCATTGGACTGCACTCAGAATCACAGTAGGTCAATAGTTCATAGAGGGTCACTCCAAAAGACCAAACATCTGACGCAATATAGAATTTGCTCTGTAATAAGCATTCAGGGGCATACCTGCAGAGACACATGGCTCCATTTAAATGTTTTTTTTTTTTTTTGCAAAATTTCATACTTCCATTTAACATTGTGAAATGCTGGAATTTTGGGTAGTGATGCTAATATGATCATAATAGACACCACTAGCATTTTTATAAAGTAAGTGTCTTACACACTCCACATTTCACACACAAAACAATATGCTCTGTTTGAACAAGAAGGAGAGAATACAACGTATCCACTATCTCTACCCAATAATGTGAAAATGTACTAGTACTGTATAATGTATCTCCACAGACTACTCTCTCTGCTGCAGGGAGTGAACCAATTAATAACATAGTCGGTGGCTAAGTTTTTATTCTGTTTCAAGAATTCATAAAATGTTATATTAAGACAACCACTTGACTCAAGTTTTACACTGTCGATATACTATAACAATTTACTTATTCTGTATATCTTGTATTATGTTTTTATCTTTGAATTTTCAGGTCTATGGCCATATAATAAAACTTAACTTAAAAGAATATAGGTACTGCTTTTTAAAAAAGAAATTGTGACAGATAATGAGAAATGTTTATGTAAGCAGAAATATTAGAGATTTTTTGAAAAGACAACAATTAGCAGACAATTCTCATGACTGGATACTAATGCTTAGACCAGTAGTGAAGAATATGTGGACTTCCAGCTACTGTGTAACTCCAAATCCCAGCAACACCAGCCAGTAAGACCAAACATAAAAGATGGTGGGAATTGCAGTCCAATGTCATCTGGAAGGCCACAGGTAATTCATTCATGTTCTAAGGGCTTATATTCTCATCTGGCTAAGTCCATTTAAATCCCACTAAAACCATGCATGCATAGTCTCTCTCACACTCTCTGTGGACTGATTAAACCATACTTTATAGTTCGATATTCAGATAAATGAGTACTGTTAAACATGCAATGCAGTAATTGCCATTTTGACACCCAGTACAATAAATGTAAATAATTGGTAGCACCTTAAACTTGCCTTTAGTGAAGAGTAACAGAATGACATAGCTAGATGAATTTGCCCAGACAGACTTATATGTAGATATCATGAGAATAAATGTTGACATTAAAAGCTGGGAGCCAACAAAATATTCACGATATAAACTGTTTCAGATTGTCTGAAGAATCAGAAGAACCCACAGTGATAAGAACATGGTTCACTCAGTTGTAGTTAATGCACCACTCTTATCTACTACAGGAACATTTGCTATATTAAACATTTGCAATGGCTTATTCATCCATTACCAGAACACAGGGCTGTCTCGATCATCATTGACTTTGTAATATTCCTTATCAGTTTCAATTGCTTTGGTCAGCCCAAAGTCCCCAATCTTCACTCTCTGCTCGTTTTCAACAAGAACATTTCTTGCAGCTAAGTCTCGATGAACATACTGTCGGGAACCCAAATAGTCCATTCCCTGAGGGTGAAGGAAACACACACAAACATTTCAAATCTTTTAATCTCTTGTAAGTACTGACTTAATCTTCAAATACAATCGAAGTCATTTCTTCATTATTATTTTTTTTAACCAAACCTCTTTTTTCCATTAGCTCTTCAGCACTAATGGTCTTGACTCTCCAGAGAAGGATGATACAAAAAGCTCTCAGACTCTTTGGGCTACAAGTGATACTTTTTCCTGCTCAAAACATATTTGTATGCTTCCTCTGGAAGTTCATACACTTCATAGCACATCATTTAGAGTGGAGGGCACAGCAGTGGAAATAGAAAAGAAATACTTTGATGATCTAAACAAGGCGATATTAAAATTTATTTGGCAAGGGAAGAAAGCCAGAATCACACTGAAAATGTTGCAAGAATCCAAGGAAAAAGGAGGCTTTGATTTACCGGACTGGACCTTATATTACCAATCATCTGTCCTAATGTGGCTGAAAGAACGGCTTAGTCTGAAAAAGAAAAGACTTTTGTATTTAGAGGGGCATGATTTACAGTTAGGTAGGCATGCCTTTTTATGGTATCAGAAAGCTAAAACCCACAGGTATTTCCAAAACCACTATATTAGAAACTCCTTGTATATAATATGGGAAAAAATATAAACAAAAATGTACACAAAAATACCAGGATGGGTTTCACCTACAGAAGCATTTGTTCATCCTAATCTTCTGAATTTTGAAATTTTTTAACTTATAGTGCTTAGATATAGATAGGAGATTAAAACTAAAACAAGACCTTATAGACCAGGGATTAGACACATCGTGGTGGCCCATAATGCAAATACAATCTAGGTATGAAAGGGATTCAAAAATGTATGATTTTTATAAAGAACAGACAATGTTTGACCAAATAATATTAACATCAGATGATAAATTAATTAGGAAAATATATAAATTTCTTTTAAATTGGAAAATGGAGGATGAACAAGTCAAAGAAACGATGGTTCAATGGGCAAAAAAGTTTGGACATAGTATTGACTTTGAAAAATGGCAAAAACTATGGTCTAGAAACTATAAAATGACAATGGGAACATCTTAAAAAGAAAATTTATATAAAATGTTTTATAGATGGCATTTACCATCTGATAGATTAGCTAAAATGTACTCTAGGTCAAGTAAATGCTGGAAATGTCATAAAAACATGGAATTTATTATTATCTTTGGTGGACCTGTGATAAAGCAAAACATTTTTGGAAAAAAAAATACATAGATGGCTTGTTAAAATAATCAAAAACATGTAGATTTTAAGCCAGAACTCTTTCCATTAGGTATAATACCAGAAAGTACTGATAAACAAAATGTATATTTTATACTGCATATTTTAACAGCCGCAAGGACTATATTCGCACAATACTGGAAGAATGAAGAAACACATATATTCGCACAATACTGGAAGAATGAAGAAACGCATACAGATCGAGAAATAATCAAAAAGATATTGGACTGCATCGAAATGGATAGACTGACACTGAAAATCACAGGAAAGGAAGATGCAGAATATTCTCAAACATGAAATTTGTTTTATCAATGGCCAGATTCAAATAATAGAAAATTTTAACAATAATAATAGAACATTTAAAAAAGAGCGGAGGGCACAGAAGAAATTAACTACAGATTTTTTGGGGGGAAGGATGAGGTTATTTGAAGGGCCAGTTTTATTCCTATAAATCTGCCTGAGCCTAAAATTAGCATCAGACGCTTTGCTTTCCAACTCATCACTAAAGTTGATCATGTTGGTTGGCACAAAGAAAATTTTAACAATAATAATAGAACATTTAAAAAAGAGCGGAGGGCACAGAAGAAATTAACTACAGATTTTTTGGGGGGAAGGATGAGGTTATTTGAAGGGCCAGTTTTATTCCTATAAATCTGCCTGAGCCTAAAATTAGCATCAGACGCTTTGCTTTCCAACTCATCACTAAAGTTGATCATGTTGGTTGGCACAAAGGCCAGGGTCTAGACATCTTGAGTTCCCTCTTCTGAGTTCCTTGTATGGCCCCAAAGACTTTTAAATTTTTTACCAAGCCTTTTATCACCAGCAGGGGAGATTTTTGGAAATTAAATATATCCCCTTCTCTCTTGCCATTTGTCCAACTTGTAAATTACCCTTTTCGTTGCGTGGAAACCATGGGAGGAAGGAGGAAGTAATCAATTATTGAAAATTTCCTCTTGCCAGTAACATCATCAAATGGCAATAATTTTCAGTAATTAAAAGTCCTCTTCTTATATTCTGGCAGCTCCCACAGGATGCTAGCATCACAAGCCATGATAGAGTGGAGTCTTCAATTACCAAAAATCTTCCCCTGCTGATGACATCATAACTCTACTTACCCAACATATTTTTTTCAATAAATAAGTTTTTCAAAGAACTAGCAAAGTGATGTCATTTATGAACAATGATTTCAAGAAGTAACTGTGGAATACAAAACATTTTGATGAAAAGTGAATGCCAAAACATGTACTGTTAAACTCATTAAAATATGAACAAAATTTACCTTGCAGATTTGTACAGCATATTTCAATTGTTGTTTCAGACTGATCTTACTCCTGTTTCGGGGAAGATATTCCTTTAGACTTCCGGAAGGAAGAAACTCCATAATAAGCTTAATTCCATTTCCACCTTTGATCAAGAAAGTCACAAATTATCTCAAGAAACTTCTGAAGTCATTACCTTTGACTATTTTAAAAATATTTTCTCTGGTGCTCTTTCTTCCAGAGTTTTCCTACTGTCTTGACATTAAAAACTCCCACATTAACTCATAAAAAAGAATTCCTCTTTCACATTTTTCTTGCAACCACTCTAAGAAGGGAAGATTCATATGGAAACCCAGAGGTCATAATGGTTTATAGAAGCATGTTTGTCACAATTTTTCAGATATAAAGCTTCCTTTCATATATTATGTGACCACTTATTTTCTCTATAAGCAGCCATAAAAACAGTTATACATATGATAAAGTTCTTTAAAACTCCAGTAGATGGAGCCCTTGAACACGAGCCACGCGGAAAAACTGTCACAACACTACAAAGAGAAAAGTTGAATGGCTTTAGATATCCAGAACATTAATATTATTCATTAGATACTCAGAATAGTAATCCTGTATACACTGACTTTGGAACAAGTTTCACTGAAATCTATGGGACTGACTAAACATACATAGCATCGGTCTGCTGACAAGAGATGGTTTCAAAATGGATTCAAAAGTTACATACAAGACTGAAACCCTGTTCCTTAAGTTACACAGTGTAACGTATGGTAATTGTTCAAAAATAAAGATTTCTTATTCCCTATCCCAAAGATCTGGAGACTTCTGTGGGATACCACTTGTCATCAGGAAGCTATTGTACAGTGTGTGTGTGTGTTTGTGTGTAACTTTAATCATGGTTGCAATTTTGGTAATTAAAAGCTCTTCTCCCCACAACCTATGGTCCGCAATGGCTTCCTGCCAACATAAGGGACTCCACAGGAGCTTCGAGACATTCCAGATGGACATCGGAAACCATGGCCAGTTGAAGAACCAGTTATCAAAGTAAACTTTCATTTTATTTCAGAAAAAAATCACCACAGCTGGTGATATTATCAGATTTATTCTTCATAACTTATGAACAGGATTTTAGCTACTCTGCATGTTTCATTGCTAAAACCAAATAGTTGTTTTCAAGTCTATGGGAAAATAGAATTTGTTTAAAACAATATATCTAGACAAGCTGGAAATAAATATTAATGTATTTTCAGACATTACCATCTTCAGTGCAGATGCCTTTATATTTCACAATGTTTTCATGATAAAGATTCCTCAAAATTTCAATTTCTTTCTTTAGGTCAGCAATATGGTTCCCACCACAGTCAGGTTTTAGTGACTTTACTGCTACTTGTTCTCCTGTATTATCGCCTTCAGGATCATACCTGCAGAGTTCAACTTTGCCAAAATGACCCTGATTTTAAGAGAAACAAAGTGTTATTTTAAAAATCTGCACACACATTGAGAAGTCAAGTCCACTCAGTGTGTTCAAATAATAATCTTTTAAATATGGTTGGAAGCCTACTGGTGTTCACATAAAGTCTGCACAGCTTGCTGTGGTTAACTGATGTGGTGCTGGGAGACATCCTAGTCATGCATGCCTCATCAGGCACTCTACTGCACAACTATGATACATCCAGCCCCTTGTTGATTAGCCACAATTAGCTATGGCAAATTACACAAACCTGTTGCAAACACTATCAGGATTCTGGTCAGTAACATATAAAATATAATTAACTAGAACATCAGAATAAAACACTTAAACTTCCGTGATACTAAAGATTTCCTTCTCTCCAATCGGTCTTTCCACCGCTGATGGCCTCCATTATTTGAAAGTTTCATAGCAAAATATTTCACAGCGAAATACATGTGATGATGTAACCCACATCTTTGCTCTGCCTCACTAGCAGCACAGTACCCTGCCCTCATTTATCCACTCCCTGCCTACCATGAGACAGAGGAGATTAAAATCTCCTCTCAGTCAATTGTGATCAGACCAATGGGGTGAAGGAAGGCTATAAACTCCCTCCCACCCAAAGTGATCCTGGGCAGTACTGTGCTTTCTTTGCTATTAACAGCAGTGAGTACAAGTGGCTCTAAGTTGGGATGACTGTGCAGGGAGGCTACAGCTTCCCTGTGCACCTACCAGAGCAAAGAACAATCTCGATGAAGATCATGAGGTGTCTGTGAGAGGGAGAGAGAGAATGTGTCTGGGCCTTGCATGTGCATATACACATGTTTTAGCCTCACCCACTTCCACCAGTAAACATACCTCGCCTAAGTCACGAATCCGCTTCAAGAACCTTTTTTCAAAAATGGTAGGGTCAATTTCTGCATTAGGCTTTTTCTCCGAAACAATATCAGGATCTGTGGCAAACAGAAATATCAGTGCAAAACAAGTGAGCATTCACTGATTTTTTCCACGCTAAACCTGGAGAACCCCACTTCCTTGTTCCAGAACTAAGAGAAGACAACCAAGCCTTACTGCATGAAGACAGCAGAATAACGGCAAAATGAGAATAAGCAAGACAGCATGTAACTTCTCAGTATGTACTTAAGATTACGGGAGGGGGTGGGCAGACTATGTGGTGATTTTACACCATATATGTGTGCGCACACGCATGCACACATACCTTATATACCAGTTTGCATCTGTCTGCATGGCAAGTGGCTGGGGTTGATTGACAGTTGTATGTAGAATGCGCACCAAGAGTGACAGTTATGACAGTTGAGAACTGTACAAGAATATTTGTGAATGGAACTGCCAGCTGATGGCTCATTATGTAGTATCATAAAAGTAAACACAGTTGTGCTTCACTAAATGCAATTTTACTTTTAAAAGGGTGCATGAAGTCAGTCTTTACCTACAGCAGAATTATAGCAGCAGTATAAAAAGAAACACTGGCTTTTTGCCTGGGTTAACCAAGGAATAATCCAAGAGAAGGAATCTCTGTTTGCAAGTTTAAAAGGCAACCTCCAATTTTAGTGCAGATATTTGGGGGTGTATGCCATTTGGGCAGCAGCACCCATAGATATGGAGAAAGCCAGAGAGTTCCAGAAAAATATCTACTTCTGCTTCATTGACTATGCAAAAGCCTTTGAATGTGTGGACCACAGCAAACTATGGCAAGTTCTTAAAGGAATGGGAGTGCCTCACCACCTTATCTATCT